TATTATGTTTATTAAAACCTGTACTCCTCGATAATAACACTACTGCTAATTCAGTTATTATTATTATTTAGCAAATAATAATGCAGACTCGCTAATCGTTCCTCAATCAAACGTTTAGTTCTTTTAAGAGGCTTCTATAATCTATCTCATTTAATTTTATCATCATTAAAATCAAATTATTTATTTGACTCGCAGTTATAATTTCACTCAATTTACATCGATTAATTATTCTATCATTATTCACCGTTTATTTGTCATTTATCGTATATTATATTTCTCTAACTGAAGGTTAAAAATTATTGATTATCGAATCGGTTTATATCGACCGTTCACTTCTCTCTCTCTCTCTATCCGCGTAATTCTTTTGCAAGAGGCAAATGGAATCAAATCATCGCAAATTGAGCCGCCACAATATCCGTCGTTGCGACCGCGAGACAAGGGAAAGGACGTTTGCGACAGTGGAAAGACGGTGATACGGCGGCGGATTATTAAGATAATTGCATAGGAGAAGCACGAGATGAGGGGGCCGGCCATGAGATAGGAATGCATTTTGCTTTACAGGCGGACTGCTTTCACCTGCAGGCGATTCTGCAGGCACGAGACCACAGGATAAGACCTCATTGTTTCTGCTATCAATTAGCGTCGCTCGTGATGACAATCTCGTTTTTCTAGGACTCCTCCGCACGTTCCAGACCCGACTTTTGCCGTATGAAAATTTGGCTCTCGAAGAAAGCTCGATAATTTATTATTATTATCGACGGGTACATATATTTTTATAAGATACTTTACAATGCATTTTTTTCGAAGATCATTCTAACCGATTATTTGCTAGATATTGTCAATTATTTGTTTATCGAATAAGTAGACAAGAGAAACTTTTAAAAGTATTTGTTCTTGGAAACTTCAATTGTATCGTGTACATTTTATGGTAATTTGCTTTAGTAATATTTATATTTTGCAGGTTTAATCCTTGCGGGATTTCGAAGAAGATTCTAATTACCTAGTATTTTACGAGGTGGTTAGAAGCTTTCGTAAAAGACCGTCTTTCGCAAAAAGCCTACGACAAATACACGCGCGGAAAATCTCGCATAAGTTGCTACTAACTTTTATAAATCGTAACACAGTGAAAGGAAAGGTGAAGGTCTAACAATAAGTGAGAATAGATATATAAAGTGTTCTTGTTGTTTTTTCATGAATTTATTTCAATAAATTTGTAAAAATTAATTCAGCGAAACAAGCTATAATAATTATTCGTCGAGAATGTCACATTTCAAAGAAATACATATACTGTAAAAAATATGTAAATATTACACGAAAATATGTGTACATAAATAATAAGTGTAAATTATACGATAAATAATAGAAATTTTTACCTTTTCATTATTTATCATGTAATTTTACATTTATTATTTATGTAATTTTACATATTTTTAATGTAATTTTACATATATTTTTACAGTGTATAGAATAGATTATGCCACTACTTTTATGAATACTACATATATTACATGTGCACGTAATTTGTAAAAGAACATTAAAATGCCAATTAAATTTTAAATTATAGAATTGAATAGCATAAAAATTTTTCACATCATTTTTCTATTAATTTGTTAAATAAATTCATGAATCTATCTGTATAAACATCCTATGTAAATTGTATGTGAACATCTAGGTAATTGTAATTACTTAGATAAATACAGTTTTCTTTATATTTAATTATTAAATTTATATTAGCAAATATATAATGCAAATCTAAATATGTGTAAGAGAGAAAGAACTCAGTTATTCTAAAAATGTGATAATAATAGTAATATTTTCTTGTCCGCGCTCAATTTCTCTCTCTCTCTCTCTTTCTTTTTCTTTCTTTCTCTTTCTTATTTTTTCTCTACTTGTTAATCAACTTGCAGTTAAGTTTAGCCTCTTCACTACCTCTTTTCCAGTAAGAACGAATATACAATAAAACTGATATATTGACTGGACATATTGTACTTTCACAGCTTTTCCTCGCAGATATGAATACTTTCTAGGAGAAATTATATATTTTTCCAATTGATACAGACTGCGGTTTATGTATCAAGATTGCTCACAACGTTTATACTATTTAACAACTTTTTAGAGCAATGACGTAATGTAAAGATACTTTGAGTGTTTGTCAAGTTTATCAAATTAGTATAAATTCGATAAAACAAATTATAAATTTCTCTCACTTTCAATCTTGTAACAGCCATTTATTGTTTATTCTTTATGCACTTATAATATAATACTTTGATTGAGCGAATCTTAATTAGTGAAAGAAACCAAATGTCCTTGCAAAATTAAACCATGAAATGAGAAAGTTTCTGTGTATTTGAATTTCAATAGCTATATAAACAATTTTTAATATAATTCAAAGTTTAAATTAATAACTCTAATAAATTGTCCAAGCTTATTAGAAACCCATACAGCACAAAATATTATGAATGTTTTGAAAAAATATTTCTAAATATTTCTATAAAATATTGCATAAAAACATTTTAAAATAGTTTTAGAATATTTTAAAATAATTTAAAAATGTTGTGATAACATTTTATAGAATATTTTAAAAACTTTAAAAATATCTTCTTTATCGCTCAGATAATATTTTCTTAAATATTTGATACATATTACTTTAAATCTATATTCAAAAATATTTCTGAAAATATTTTTTAAACACGAAAAGCGGACATAGAAACATTTTAAAAATATTCTCGAGAATTATTTTATCTTTTAAAAATATTAAAAAAATTTTTTTAATATTTTGTACTGTATGGAAAATATACAGCATCCGCCTAATGTGAAAATCGACTTACTAGATCAGTAATTTATCGACTACTGTATTTTTGATCGTTCTATCGCAGAACAACGTGAAACGTGTCCGGCGTCGGGGGCCGTGTGAATGCTGAAGACATGCAATCATCAGCACCCCGTATATCCGGTCATTCAATTCGCCTCGTCCTTCTACCTCTCTTGCTCGTCCTTATTTCTCGCCATTCAAAAGGACATTAAAACGATAAGTTTCCAAAGAGCGCTACGCCTTTGCGATAAAAATATCTTTATATAAAAATTCCAGAAATAAATTTCAGAGACAATATACGAGAAATTTCGTACGACAAAAGACCTAAAGCATCTTCATATTACGTGAGATGTTATTATATTTAAATACATATTCTTGGAAGGATATGTGATTTTGAGGTTCTGGTATTGCGCAGTCTGGAATTTGATTTCTATTGAATTATCAAGTTCAAATTTCTGACTTGAAAATTAAAGAGAGAGAAGGAGAGAGAAATATCAGTATAAAATTTTGGAAAGTTAAAAAGAATTAATATATATATATATATATATAATAATAATAATGAAATATATTATGCAACGCACTAAAATCATGTAACATAAAAGAGGCTCGATTTCAATAAACGTATCAATAAAAGCACAAAAATTCAGAATTCATTGGGCAGAAAAGTTTGGCGGAAGTATGACACACCAAGATATTTCTAAATTATCAATGTCAATCCGGTTAGTGATGAATGAATGCGGCATGAATAATGCGAACCATTTACATTGCTTTGCCATTAACGAATTTGAGTTTCGGCTGAAGCGCCGGAAGGCGGAGTAAGAAACCGATGTTCGCGCAGAGAATTACGAAAGTTACACGGAGAGCCGTGCGTATTTCCTCGAGCGAACTTCTATTCAAACATCGGCGAAATATCGGATGCAATATCCCGAGAGAGCCAGCAGCGGATCGGATGAAAGGACTATAACGATGTACGATGTTGCGGCTGATTTCTTAATTCCGATGTTCGGCCGATTTCCTTCCTATATGGGCGAGAGGATCGAAACGGCGTATATTTCCGTAAAACTTAACGAACTGACCGACTCACGATTCCAATCAGATGTTGCATAAGAACGAGTAACACGCGCACACCTCTCGCGTTCGCCTCTCACTTCTCTCGTTCGCCTTGCGAGCTAAGGCTCTCTCAGAAAATCTAGTCTAAATCTATTCATAAGTCACGATAGAATTTCTAATAAAATTCTACACATGATCCGATATGTCTTAATAGAGTATAGGAAATATTTAGAAAAATCAAAATTGCAAGATTAAATCTTCTCTGTCGTCTCAAATGAGTTTAATATTTTGTGCGCATCATTTTCTTTAAAGTATATTTATTAGAGCAGACTAAAAGAGATATATCAAAATTTTATATCAATATATAATACATAGATAGAAAAATTGATGAAATTAGATCAATTCGATCAGTCTATAATAATAGATACGTTGCAGTGTCGGTGTGTCTGATAGAAAATATACTTCGAGTTTCATACACGACATATTGCAATCGGATCCTACGCGAAAGAAATCAGAACAAGTGTGATAAATGTCACGGAACGCAATTGAAAAATGATTGGGTCTAATAAAAAAAGTGATGCATTTTTTTACACAACAAAGCTTTTATCTTATAGCTCGAAGAAAAATAAAATAATAAAATCAAAACATGCTTTTATTATTTGAACATAGTTTTTTCTAATATTTATTATATATATATATATATATATATATATAATTTAAAAAATTAATAAATATAAATAAATAATTATAAATTTATTATTAATCATTAATAAAAATAATAACTAATATTAATTAAAATATATAAAATATTTATATATGAGAAAAAAATGAACAAATATAATATATTTAAAATTTATTAAAATAAATTTGTATATTATTAATTAAACAAATAATTAAATATTTATTAATAAATAAATAATTCTGATACAGAAAACAGAGAAGATAATTATCTAAGCTGCCTGAAATAAATTTTTTCGAATAATATCCAGCGTGCAGCGGTACCATGGGACCAATCGAAAGAGAGGCTTTCTCCTGGATCATGGTTCGCCGGTGGTATCCGCAGAGTTCTCCTTCTGGAGGGGATATCTATATAGCCTGTCCATTCTGGGACAGCCCGTTCAAACTGCTCGTGTTCCTAAGACCGCACGTGTACTACAGTGTCGACGAAAAAAAAAAGCACACGCGCTCGTTGACGTTTTCGCTCCAAGCACGCGGAGAACAAACGGAGATAGATCTGTACGAGTGGTGACGGGAGAGAATCGGGCCCGATTTAAGTCCGAGATCGGCGCGGGAAAAATGTGCCAGTGGTGCGATGTGAGCGAGTGCAAAGGACGCGATCAGTAAACAAAGCGGCAATCGTTCCGAGTTCGCAAGCGAAAGAGGGAGGAAAGGGCGCGAGAGAGGAAACGGGCAGTAGGTCGAGGGTGGTGCTGCGGTGACCCAGTGCGGAAGTACAGCACACCCTGCACAATGGTGAGTTGGGATATCGTCGGGGTTGCGGTAGACCGCGCGTGAAAGCCTGCGTTCAAAATCTTCGAGTCCTACATTCGCGGCTATTAGCATAGATAATTTATGCGCCTGACTTTAATCGACGGTAAAGTCGAATAGTGGACGTAGAATAGTTTGAAAAATTATATATGTGGGAGTGTGTAGATGTATTGGGAAATTAGAATATATTACGCGACATATTTCACTTTGGCGAATGAATTTTCATATGGGTTGGTTCATAATAATTCGACCATTTTGCTTAGAAGAAATGTCAATGAATTATTGCTTGAAACGATCAGCTTCATGAAAATTTTTCTAAAATACAGCCGAATAAAAATGGTGATTAATTATTTTTCTTCACTTCATATATAATGTACAAAATATGTAATAAAATAAGCTTTAATATTAACTTTTATTATTTATCTTTCGTAGCGAAATAAATTGCTATATCTAAGTATAAGAAAATTGAGAAAAAATAATATTTTAGTGCTGTGTAAACTTGTATGAATGACTCGCGTTCGAAGTCGAAGTCTTCTTTAGCCTTCCATTAACAGAAACGTAAATATTATCAATAGTAGAAAGTCACGTTTCTTCTCGACACTCAGTCGAGCTAAAAGACTAAAACGTGCAACTATAAGAAGCTTCGAATAGATTATTGCTATTAATTACAGTGAATATATCTATTACCTTTCATGTACAGCGCACATGATTTAAATCTTTTAATTGATATTATTATACTTTTAACATTTAATAAATTTTATTATTAAGAAAAAAAATAATAAATTGATATACTAACAATAAATAACTTCTTTTTATAAACTCGTATAATTGTGCGTAAGTTTATCTAAAAATTATTTCATCACGTTTATTCAAGAAAACATATATATCATCTGAAAAAAATGTTTAATAAGTTTAATAAACGCACAGAATCTCTTTCAAGGTGCGTAAGTAATTCGAAACAGTGAGAATATATCGTCGATTATTGCATTCCTTTATCTCGGACGCAAGATAATTGTAAAATAGACCAGTGTGTCGATGCGTCTCCCGCGTTACTACGCTTTCTAATTTACGCTTTGTATGTCGATACTGTAAAATTTCTCAGTACATAATTTACGACTATTAAACAACTTAAGAAATACTTCATCGAGTATTTAACAGCGTGCGATAATGTTTGAGATCTGAAAACATTTCTCTATACATAGGTAATAAAGTATTTTTTTTGTAGATAATATTAATGAAACGCTCCATTTTTTTGTTTAAAACTTAGGCATATAAAGATATATAAGTTGTTATTCTGGTCAATCATCTATAATTGGGTCGTAGTATGTCGTATGTAATTTACAATTCTTTTTCCGCGTAGTAATCATTACGACTGTAGCCTATATTCATGCTTTTCATGCTTAAACGCAGAATTTATTATTTACAGAGAATGAGAGAATTTCGTACTGTGAAATAAAGTTGTACAATGGGCACAAAAGTGCCTTGAAAGCCATATTAAATTTTAATTAGAATTTCAAAGCGAATAGAAGCATTAAGGACCAAATCCATTACACGAAAAACGGAAAGAGAAAGTAGTAGCGACTTCTTACATGAAATATCATTTTGCACGTATCGATAATGATCGTCGACGCCTTTCGTTAGGAAAGCACGTTTCCAGTATATTAGAACTTCGTTTCTTGCAAAGATTGTTAGGATAGATTGTATAACTTCGATTAACTATCATTTATATAAAGATAAAAAGTTCCAACACATAGAAAAAGAAAGAGAGAAAGAAACAGTCTCTAAGATCCTAAATTAATTTATAAAAATTATTATATAAAATTCATCATTTTCAATATACAACCATCTTTTGTAATTCATATTAAAAATTTATTCTTCAAGTTTTTATAGCTTTTCTATTAAAGAGGTTCAGGTGCTTCAAGAAAAGGCAGCCAGCCTCATGTAATTTTAATATATTGTTCTGCAATGCAACGTAGAATTATGTGAATTTTTTTGGAATTTTTCACCGTCTCGTTCTGAAAATATATATATATATATATATATATATATATATAAATTTGTATATATATATTTGCTGAAGCACGTCTGTGATTACTTTTTGTGCGACTAATAATTCATAAGAATTGACTAGTAGTGACTGGCAAATTGAGAAAAATGAAGATGTTTGCACATCATATTTGTTCGTCATCGAGAGAGAAAAAAAATGGAGAAGATCGAGATAGGAGGACGGTCGCCGACCTTCTGAATTGCGACATAAGGAGCGAAGAGGCTGTTCACACACTGACCCGTATTTCGTGCCTGTCGGCGAACTGAGCCCGCGACTTTTGTCTATTATTCGATTTTCCGCTGAGAGAAGGTGGCTACATACGTGCGGTTCCTTTCTCCCGGGTCGTTTCTACGTGGTCGAATAAAATCCGAGTTTGCGTTCGATTCAACCGATCGCGTAATTTAATGCCCGAGGTATATAAATTCGCATGCATTTATTATGCTGCATGAGATTTATCTAACCCAACAGGCGGACCGAAATATCCATATTTAATTGTGCAGAGATATATTCTCTCTGCACCTATATTATAATAATTCGATAATAATTATTTGATTTTGTATTCCTTAAATTAGCATGAAATTCAACTCTACGCCTATGTTTATGCGCAATTAGGTCAAATGGCTTTATTTATCTAAATTGGGCTCATTTCATGTTTTGCATGAAATCTATTATGTGTGCATGATACCGTGGAATCCAATTACGTTTGTATGTTTAATTAATGATAATTAATTAAATATCCATATTTGATCTTAAGAGAATTCGTTGTCGCATCGTTTCAAATCGAACATATTTATTTAGAATAATTTTTAACGTATAGTAGTTCTCGAATATAAAATTCAATTATTTTGTTTTGTTAATATATATATATATAATAATATGTTCAGTGTATATCTGCAGTTAAATACATTTTATGTCAGAAATTTCTGAGAAATTTAATTTTATACTTTAAGTCATGTCAGGATAATAATTAATATAATCATAATTCTAAGATATTTTAATAATGTTAAGGTTTTCTAAGCAGTTAATGACACATAGAAGAAAAAAAGGCTCTAGGACGAGGCTTTATTAATATAATGTAATGTAAGGTACCAAAGTACCAAGTAAAGCTGGTAAAGTTCCACAAGTATTTTTAAAGTTTCGCGAAACGGGGTATGATGCGCTGGATAGAGAAAAGATCTCTTCCTACGCTGAAAGGTCAGCCGTAGGCGGAAGTCTTTGCTGACAAAAGTCTAACATTAAGTGGCACGTAACCGGGTGAAGAAAAGGAATCCCCGCCTCCGGCTTGTTAATACTTCCATCGCGTGCCGCTCTCGCGCGAGCGAAATGAAACTAGGAAAAATCTGCGATCTCTACTACTCTAATTACGTTTTGCCGCGATCAAGTTGCGCGTCACGCTGCTGACACCCACCGACCAAGTCTCATTTGGTGTCGCGGAAAAAAAAGAAAAAAATTCTTTGCAGACAGGTATTCAGGAAACAAACTTCAATTTAATGATTTATGTAATACACAATATAACTTTATTAAATTCTATTTTAACAAATATTCTTATTACGAGAGAAATCTAAAATATTTATTTTATTTTTTTATTATTTTATTTTTATAATAAATCATATATATAAATTATTTAACGTGTCGCAGAAAAAGACAAAAAATTCTTTGCAGACAGATATTCATTCAGGAAACAAACTTCAATTTAATGCTTTATGTAATACACACAATATAACTTTATTAAATTCTATTTTAACAAATATTCTTATTACGAGAGAAATCAGAAATATTTATTTTATTTTTTTCATTATTTTATTTTTATAATAAATCAAATATATATAAATCATTTAGCGTGCGCAGAGATGAAAAATTTCTCAAATGTACATATTTCTCGAATAAGCTGCAGCTTACCTCTAATTCTTCTTCAAACAAACGTTACAAAGATACTGAGAGAAGATCCATTGCCGAAGTTAAAGTTACGTCATGATATTTATTTTATTTTTTTCATTATTTTATTTTTATAATAAATCAAATATAATATAAATCATTTAGCGTGCGCAGAGATGAAATTTCTCAAATGTACATAATCCTCGAATAAGCTACAGCTTACCTCTAATTCTTCTTCAAACAAACGTTACAAAGATACTGAGAGAAGATCCATTGCCGAAGTTAAAGTTACGTCATGATACTTCCCTATGCCCTCTTCCATATGCCGCGTCAATCATCATCGTATAATGTAAAAGCGTGCGAACGATACTCACGCAATCGCGATTCACGTGCGATTAATTCCGCAATCGTCCTCCATGCGAATCTCCACGATCGCGCATCCTGCTCAACAAGCTCGCGATGTCATTATCCGAGCGCGATGCGTCTCGGCGACGTAATCTCTCCTAATTATAATATTCGAATTAATGACAGAATTTCAGAATTTGTTCGAACGAAATAATATAAGGTCTTCGAAAGAATTCATTCCAGAATTTATACTCCGTGCAATCAGATAAAAGATCCTTGTCTTCTTTTAGACTAAGTAAATCTCACATTATGCGACGTGCTTCTTCCGTTGGGCGTAACTCGTTCCCTTCATTTCCGGCAGGGTTGCTATTTATTTTCTTTTTATGCTAGGAAGTCGCACCGAGTAAGCGATCTTCCGCGATAGTCAACAACCGTTGCGAATGAATCTCGGTGCAACGCGCCCGAAGTGGGAGCCGAAAAAAGGTTCGAAGGCGAAAGTAAAGGTGGAGTACCGTAAAGAAAGTCGGCGACAATAAAAGTGGAACACCGGCGAGACGTCGAGCGATCCGATCGAATCGAGTCTGTGAAACCTGTCGATAATTCCCCCAAGATGGAGACTGCTCGAGTAGATAAATTCTTTTTTCTTTTATCTGAGAAAAATCTTTTGTTTATTCATCAATGAAATAAAACGATGAATCTGTATTTCTTAGAGGTATAAACGTATAAGAAAGTGTCGGCACTGAATGCATAATTGTTCAACCGTAGAGAAAATGAAGCCATATACATACGCGGATGTCCAGGGATATCGGTTTTCCCAAAGAAAACAATCGCCTTATTTGTTGCCTTTGCATATTGCATCTGACTCTTCATCAGATAAATTTACTGCTAGCTGGTTACATGCGGAAAGAACAATAGCCTGTAGAAATTCTAATAAGATTGAACAATGTTGTGATTTAGCATGTTTTTAAAAAGAGAAAAGAAGAGAAAGAGAAAGAGAGAAACGCCATGTCAGAGTAACAGACATTAATTTTCTTAAATATTCAAGCTTTTATAATGTTTTCTTCTATATAGACAAGAATTTAATTTTCTAAGCTATTCATAATTTCATTTCTGCATTTAACTCTCACACTTTAATAAGTTACAATTTTTTTATTATACTCGCGAGGAAGTTAATTAATTCGAAGAAAAATTAGACTTTTATAAATTAAATTTTCACAAAAATCTTTTGTTTTAAAAAATTGATTCATAAAAATACAGATTTATTAAATTGTACTATTTAAATTTTTCTTTATTTTACGCTCCAAGTTAAAAATTATTCATTTAATTTTCTTTGCATGGAATGTAACGCGCTCATGCATAAAGAAATATATTTTCCAATAAGTTACGGTTGCGAGAGATATAATCGCGAAGTATAGTGCTATTTCTGAGTTCGCGTGTAAAGATTATCTCGAAGAAACACTCCAAACTTTATCATTCACTAGTATTTCTTTTAGACGCGCAACCCTCTCGAAACCCAAGAAACGAAAGTTTGCAAGCAAGTAGAGAATAGTGTAAACGTATAAGTAGAGCGTGAAATTCCGAAGGCCGCGAATATGGCATTTTTACGGTACATTCGATCTGATTACGCACATTCACGTTTAAGTTACTATATGTCGCTTTCGAGGCTTCCAGAACTTAGGTAATAATTGAACAAAAACACACACCCGGATGTACAAATGGAAAGATTGTCGGTCTTTCTAATCTCCTTTTCACAAATAAAATAATTCGACCACTTTTTTTAAATCTAATTACTTTCGAGATAAAATTAAAAATAAATATAGATATACCATTAAGATTCATAGTATTATATTAAAATGAAATTAATATTCCAGGATATTACCGTCGACTAGCCTACAAGCAAAAAAATATATTCTTTAAAATTGATAAACCGATATTTTAAATTTCCCAAGTGACGGTATCAACTGGAATTTTCAATCGATTACTCAGAGAGTCCTTCGACGTAATATATTAATTATTTTCTATCAGACAGTTTTTTCACGCCATACATATTTTTAAAGAACTTTAAAAATAAACATTTGTAGCAACGTAATTTGACTTTATCGCGAAGTTCTTTCTTTCTCTGAACGTATCAGAAGCAACATTATGTCGGACCAAAGTGATGATATCGAGACCGCGCCTTTTTCCGAAGATACGAGCTAGCTTCTCCTTGTGCGTTGAGAGAAAGGTGTTCGACCTCCTTTTTAACGCCGTCCCCGGATCCGGCATGCAACGAACACGAACGATTGATAATTGTACACATTACCGGTGGAATTGGCTGGGCGATGCTACGAGCGAAGCTCAAACGAGACCGAGGTATATATATCGCCTCATGCTTTACGCGCTCCTCCGTCGAGAGAAAGTCATTTCTTTCAGATCGCTTCAGTTTTCAGTCCCGGAGCGCGTGGGAAGCTATCGGCTAGGATTGAAAATGGAATTGCGATATTATGCTACCATCATCACCCCATATTTTCAACATGTATGCTTGGAAAAATGTCTCTCGAGAAATTTCTCGAGATAGAGCTCCCTTTTTTTCAGACATGTATTTTTAGACGATTGTTGATATTTTAACGTCGAGCAAAAAAAATACCACGTAATGAAGAAGTTATCGTAATTTCTCAATATTAAAAGTAAAATATTATACTAATGAAACTTGAAGAGTGTACTTACCTAATATAATGTCATAGCATACATCGATTGACAAACTGCAATGATTGCACACAAACACATTATCAGCGTGTGCTTGTAAAAAAAATATTACAAGTATATTTTTTTTTTTTTGAAAATAAATTTGTCGTCGCTTCCGAAAAACATCGATCGATCAAATTCTAATTCTCTGTCGGAATTTCCGCTACGTGCAGTATGCGCGCGAACGGACGTTCCTGGGACGGGATCGATTTCTTTTCTTTTCGACGAGGAACACCCTTGTCTACGCGAATAGCATCGTTATTTTACACTCGATGGATTCGTTTCTAAAACGACCGGTCGGAATGCGCCTGGAAAGAATCGCGAAGAAAGCAGAAAAATCGCGCGCCGTATCCGACACGCAATCTTCCGTAATGAAAATTGCATTGCGCCTCGTGTGTATGCATCGCGGCTCGTAATCAAAATCATGTCAGTGGCACGCAAAGCTGACGCGTTCTTTCGAAAATCGCCGTAATTCAGGAAATTCTCGCCAATTCTTCATATCGCTTACATACACCCCATGGATGATATCATCGAGAACGATGATATCATTATGTAGGTATACGTATTAATTGCATCGATAGTATCGAAATAAGATAATATCTCGAAACTTTTTTTTTCAAGATTGTGAGATATTGATTTTACGTTATTCAAACGCCTATTAAAATAAATTCGATACGCACATAAATGTCGAATATTTTTGCAATTCATTGACGCACACATGGATAGATAACTCAACTGAATTATTACATAATATTTCTTAAGCCCATTTTTCGATCATATTTTTTAATTTAAAATGTAATTTGCACATAAATTTTTTACTTATATAATAGCAAGTATAAAAATTCACTTTTCATGAAAATTCTATAGTATTTTTCAAGTATTTTTAATTTACGATAAAAAAAGCATTTTAATTTGAATATAGATAGATTTAGTATGCCTTCCGATTTCATTTGACAGATATTATTTATTCCTTTTTTCGTTATGCGTTTGCTTTCTAACATAACTGCTCGTGTAATCCATCAATTTTCGTATAAGCTTCGTAACTTATGATCTCGTAAGATCCGGTAAAGAGTTTTCAAAGCATTTATTAGAAATCGTATACTATTTGATACGATTCACAGTTCGTTAGCTCCGTTACACTCCAGAATTTTCTCGATTCGCAGGCAACGCACAACAACGATACCAGCTTTGAATGATAATTGCAACGATGACGACATCGATTATCAAAGGAAGTCGTGATAGAAATAATAGAGTAATTCGGCCCTCGTCATTATAATAATCGCGTTAATGACATCCTGCTTATGACGCCGTAAAAGCTCCAATAATAAAAAAGAAAAAGCTGTAAAAATCTTGTTACGTGTTACTTACATGAGATGACATTTTTCACCGATGTGCTCGAGGATGTAAAATTAAGCAGACAGCAGTGACGTATATACATACATTTTCCGTATCCATAATTAGAAGGTCGACTACATTCACTGGAGCACCATGTTGCCTGAGATACCGCCTAGAGATATTTCCTGAAAAATATATCGTAATATATAACATTAGAAACAAGATTGAAAATATATTGTTATAAATAAGCTAATTAAGGTCGTATATAGGAAGCAAATGAAGCCTTGCCGTGTTTTCTAATAGAAATCTTCGATTTTATTTATTTTCATTCTGAGAGAATTAATAACAATTTAGACCTATTAATTTAATTATCTATATCTAATAAATCATATCACTATAACGACTTTTCTTAATATATTAGCATATAAATCGCGCAAATATATAAATAGACGAAAGCGACAACTTTAGTGAAAGTTGTCTCTATAATTCGACACGCAAATGTATCTAATGACTAATGACTGATGATGTGCTTACAACTATCATTTTAACTGTAATTTAGTTTGATATTATTTATTTGTAATTCACAAATCGATTGAAAACCGGACATCGTGATGGAGCGATCATAAGTATATTACGGGATACGCTTGTTGTCGATTTATTTCGTCGTCTAACGACTTTCTTGGCAAAAATTTCACGAGAAAGAATATTAATGCAATGGCAGTGTGCAAAGTCGCGTTGCGATAAATCAAATAGAAGCGAAACGGAAAATTGTATCGATAGCAGATATCGGAACAATTGTAAACCGCTGTATATTGTTTCGATGTAACAATATATGTCACTTGCATCTCTATTGAAGATGAATGATCGATCGATAATGTTTTCGATATACGTGGCACAAGTCAATCGTGAATTGCGTCAGAAATCGAAAACGTCTCACATTGTGAACATTTTCTATATATATATATATATATATATATATATATATATACTAGAAAAGTAAAAATATTTTATCTATTTGTTATGTATAAATATATATAAGTAATATTTAATTTTTCTTTATTATTATTTAAGTTATATAGAATATATATATATATATATATATATATAATATTTCGAACAGTATTGCAAAGGAACGTAACAATTTTTCTTTTTTTAATAATTTATAATTATCAATATTTTATAATTACTCGTCTGCCTGTTGTGATATGTATGTGGGAAATATTTACGTAATATATACATATACACACAAGTATTTTAATTAAATTTATATAATTTTCTAATTAAATAGAGAATGTAATCCTATCATAATAATTAGATTTTATCAATATAATTTGTTTCATAATAAAATGTTTTACAATGAAATTTTATGACATAAGAAAAAAATATTAAATGAAAATTGCATCTGTATTGATATTAACACACACACACACACACACACACACACACACACACACACAAAATACTGCTTCTAATAGATAATTACGTGTTTATTATTTTAGACATGCAATTTAAATATTCTTATCTAATCGTCAATGATAACTGACGATCTAAAAATTCCGTAGAAAGAAATTATTTCCGCAAGAGGAAATCATTTATTATAAGATTTTTAATTGCATCAGGAGTTTATGAAAGGTTTAAGGAGCAATAATATCGGAAGTAATTAATAGCGTTGGCTCTTTTATCGCAACTTTGTCGTATCATAAAACCGCAAATTCCATTAAAACCAAGTCGTGGCCATCTCATCGCTCTTTGATAAATACAATGTACTTCGCTCACTCATTTGTATTATTATAGACGCGGTGAGACTGCGGTTAGTTTCTTGTTATTTACCGCACAAACACCGTTGCCACATTTTGACTGTTGCTCTCTAAAGCATCATTGTTCTATTCTTTGATGCATAAAATGACACGACACTCATCCCCCGAGAGGACTTCTTCATTATCGTCCATAAGCACAGAAAAATACTTAACATTTTCGGCTATTAAAATCTATATATTAAACGATCTAACATTTCAATATAATTCGTGACGGAATTCAATTTATAATTCTATGCACTGTGTATTTTAAAATAGACGTTCAACTTGCATTCAAAATTGCATCTATAACACACTTGTAACACACAAGTGGTTTATTTTTAAAATACGAATTACGCCAAACGAAATGATGTCGATGTTGACCTAGATTTATCGTGAAAAGTCAATCAAAGCAATTTTACGCTGTCAATATAGCGTATGCGCCGTCGGTGGAATTAATTGCTTAACGTCCACGATCAATTAATCGATAACGTTGATTTTAGATTGTGCGGAGGTGCTTCGCACCAGCCGCCGTGTTCGTCATCCTAACGTTGTTAGGCAAATTCGAGGGAAGTGCGGCCGAGCGATGGTCACGACAAGTCTCCAATAGCGAATGGATCCCCCTGGCCGATCCAAGGGCTGTTCAACTACCACAGAATGCAGGGAACAACCTTGTAGCCAGTAACACGCATCATCTACCGAATCCGATCCAATCACTCGCGTTACCGCCCGCCCTTCAACACCAGTACCAACAACAATTGATTCAGCTGCAAAAGACGCAGGAGAGTATTCAAAAGCTCCTACTGTTGCAACAGCATCTCAAAGCTCAGCAGCAACTTCTTCAGGTAAAATACCGAGACTTCGATTATATCAACAATTATTATATAAAGACGTGATATCATTTCATTTCTCTCCCTTTTTTATAAATTACTCTTCACTAATATTGAGAAATTAATTTAGTCTATTTTTTTATAATATATATATATAAAATATATATGACATTTTAACTATATTTGTACAGCAAAAACAAATATTAAGCAAGAGCTTTTGATACGAGAAACAATTGAAAGATAATAAAGCTAATGAAGATTTCCTCATTACGTATTTTTTGCGGATTATTGATTAAATTTAACGACGGTTTAAAAATTTGTATAGAGAATGTCAGTCGATTTTCCTTTAATTTTATTTTCGTTTATAGTCCCAGACGTTTGTGCCTGGCACCGAAGACGAGAAGCAAGGGCTGCCACTGAATTCCGGCAATTTGCAAACGACACCCGAATTAGCACAACAAGTTTTAGTCCCGCCACATCCATCCTCGGAAGCTCTTCCGCCGGTGTATTCCGCACAAAATTTCCTTCATCATCGAAGACCGGGACAAGTCCATCAGAATCTGAATGATAATCAAGAACTATCAAACTTGCCTCCTCAGGGTCAAGTGGTACTGCAACATGCTGAACACGATGACACGCGAGAAAGACCTCATGCTTTCACAAAACAAGAAAATCAAAGACCTCACGGAAAACATCTGAAAGGTCGACCGAATCCAGGATTATCGCAATCTCCTTTGAGCGAAAGCGATGAAGAAGAGGAGGTTTGTACAAGAATGAAATCAAATGAATAAAATCAACAATAATTCGCTCTCTTTGCAACCGTATGATTTAACAAGTTCCATTGACCGATTTCTATTTATATATTTCTACAATATTATCAGTATCATCGGATCAAACAGAATTAGAGCGTGCATGAATTATAAGATGCGCACATTAACCGAGCAAAGCAGGAATCGAGGCGATAAATTGATCTAATTTCTTGTTGTTGAATAAAAATTGAATCTATTGGATCTAATAGTAATTAATTTTATCAAATATTTTAAAATTTAGTAAAAAAATAAGTAGATAAAATCTTAATTTTGACTTTTAAACCATACATATAATTACATATTTTTATTTATACACCTAATAGATTGTATACAATTTTAATATAATCATTACGCGATGACGTAAATATAACACAAAAAATATTAATTTAAATTAAATTAATATTTATGACATCATTAAATAATAATATACAAGAATACTATTATACTAAGAAATAGCTAAGCATGTAATTCATTAAATTCAATATTAATTTTCTAATCTATCAAAGATTAGATGCATACCTAAATGTTTTAATTGTAATATCTCGTAGGTTCAACTGGTGTATGTTCCGGCAGAAACTTTGGCGCAAACAGGCCAACTAAAAAGGGGCCGCGGAAGAAAGCCATATCCCATTCGCCAACAGTATCACCAACAACAAGAGAGCCAAAGAAACGTCGAACAAACTTCGCTCTCTCCCGATCAAGAAACCTACACGCGCCAGGTGTTGCAGCAGATTCAACAAGAGCACGAAGAGAAGGCGCAATTCCTGAAGGAGGAGCGCATAAAAGAATTCAACAGATTGAACGAGGAGCAGAAGGCACTCGAGCGTAAGACGCGATTGCAACAGGAGGCTCTTCAGAGAGAGCAGGAACTGTTGCGGCAGAAGGAAGCCGAGAAGAAGCAGAAGGAGCTGGAAAAATTGGAGGAAGCGGCGAAGCAACGAGAATTAGAACGAATCCGCGAAGCGAGAGAAAAGCAGAGGCAGGAGGAGCTCGAGCGACGACGACTCGCTGAACTCCGAGCCAAGGAGGAGAAACGCCGTGAGGAAGAAATCAGAGAGCGTGAGGAGAGACAGAAGCAACTGGAACAGCAGAGAATCCTGGAAGGCACCGGTCTTCAGCTTAACGCTCAAGCTCTAATCCGCGAACAACCGCAGCGTCAACATCTCGCGACGGCGGACGGCACCAGACCCAAGAAGCTCCGTAACAGACCACGTCAACGTGTCAATCAGTACCAGGAACAACCGAATCATCGCGAAGTCACGACCACGCCGTCGCCTAATCAGCCTCCACTCTCCGTTTATATGGACAATTCCGAGCTGGAATCCGTCAAAGTCACCGATGTTCTCAAGATCTTGAAGGACGCGAAAACCATCGCTGTCCTCGACAACGTCGGCCCGAGTGCTCCGCAGGTCTTCGTGGGTCCGACGAATCTGGATCCTCCTTACGGTTACGCCAAGTTCGATCTTCCCTATCTGTCGTCGATCGATCACAACAGGGTGGAGCGCAAGGTCGACAAACTACCTTTCTTCGTGGCTCCGTTGAGCTTCGATCCGCCAGCGGGTTATGCCAAGATCCCGTTCCCTGCGCCTCATATCGGCTCGGTCGTCGTCAACACGTTATCGGAAACGTCCTCGGAATCAAATACACAGGTGGACGAACAGAATTCTAGCCCGACGTCGATCGAGTCGAATTCTTACAACAACGCCGAGCAAAGCGGATCCATCGCTAGTACTGCGTCCGAAGAATCCTCGACCGTTCCAAACTTTTCCCCGGAACACAGCAGTGCGAAGTACGAATCGCCTTCATCAGGTTCCAGATTTAGATTCAGACAGTATTACGATAACAAGCCAAACTCCGTGATCAGCATGTCGTATTTCGGTGAACAATCGACGACGAAGGCGAAGCCGAAGCAGTCTTACTACGAGCAAGAGTCCAAATCGATCACTCAACCTCCGAAATTCGATACGACCGATAGCTATAGACAGGAGGTATCCTATTCCAACACGCCGAGTTTTCAGGACGGAACGCCGAGTCCGCATGATCCCTCCGCAAATAAACAGGATCTGACGACTCATCAATTGGCGCTCATCAATCAAGAGTTTGCGCAGCAGCAAATAGAGGCGCAGAAATATACTACTGCCGAACAATATCACTCCCAGGCTAATCTGGATGATTCGTACAATGCCAATGACGTCAGAGCGCCGGTTGGACCAACGCAATACAATTTACCAGCGGAATTACCGCCAATATCCCCGCATCTGCCGGGCTTAGTGAACTCATTGTTGGATAAGCAAGAGGAGAATCTTTCCATCATTTCGACCCCACCGCCAACTACAACCACGCCATTAACGACAACAACTGCTCGTCTAAGTTCCACGACATACAGGCCCCGAGGAAGGTAAGCATGCATATTCAAATATATGTGTGTGTGTATATATATGTATATGTAACGTGAAATAAGTATTATAATTTTATTAATTTAAAGTTTTTTTGTATATAACAATTTTTTAACTCGTTTCGCCTATTTTTTTCTTTACTTAAATTATTCAAGTTTTGTTGCATACATTTATTGTTCTTGTATTTATAGATTAAAGTTCTATGGATGATATCATCAAAGATAAAATTTTCTCATATAAAAATTCCACGTAAAACTCTGTTTTATGTCATCTAAAATAGAAATAAAACGTCTGTATAGCATCAATAAAAATTTTTGTATTTTATCATAAATTTCAATGTGACGTTAATGATTGGAAGTATATTTGATCATCTTTGCACAGAGGCAGAACCGTCCCCACGAGACCCAAAACGACACCTCAGACACCTAGTAACAAAACCGATAGACCCCGAAGACCATCGTACAACAGATCTAAATCTAGATTTTCCACTACTACGGAAGAATATCAGGAAACCTCTTACGAGCCCACAAAGGGAAAAATACCAGAGACCACGCAGAAATATAACGCGATAGAACACAGAAGACCAACGCCCAGAACGCAGAAATACAGAAATCGAGATAGAGCAAATTCTCAATCGGTACGATTGACGAAATCTTTAATCTCTTTCTCTCTTTTGCCTTTAAATCTTAAAAATGGAAAACGCAAAGTTTTCGTCAATACATGAATATTATCTTAATTAAATTGATAAAATATTATCTTTCAAATTTTATAAATTTAACAGACAATATTTGATAAATAAATAATTTAATTCAAATTTTAATTTCAGACTCATCAAGCGGTCAGCTACGAGAATTATCCAATGCAAAGCGATTCGCAAAACACTGCACCTCCCAACACGTATTCACGAACGAGCGGATTCGCCTCTAATCTCCATCAAAAGGAAACTTCTTCGTCGGAGATAAGCGATTATACCCGTGAGAATTACCCGTCGACCACTCCCACACAAACCGAGAATTACCCGCCATTGAGAGAGATACAGCACAGCGTGCCCTTAATGTCCGACGATTACTCGAAAAGTCAAAATTACCCGCAAAATCGTCCTCAAGATGCCACGTACGATCAGAATGTTGCCTTCGAACAACCGAGACTCGAGCAGGCTCCAGTAAACGGATTCAATTATCAAGTTGCAAACGAGAATTCATCGCCAGACCAGAGAAATATTCCTCAGAGGCACAAAGAATATTCGCGTTATCAGGAGAATGCCAACTACAATCTGGCCATTACGGAAGACCCGCGAGTCAGACCCGGCGAGGGACATCGATATTCCCCGATTTACGAAGTCAACGTGGCGCAAACTCAGCCGGATTATAACATCGGCGGACAGAATTCTTTCCACAACGTCGACGACAGCAAGATCGAAATCGATCCGAACGCGACGCCTATTTTTATTCCGCTTCAACAGAGCAATAAGCAAGAAGACTACGAGCTGCAAACTCCCTCTACAGAAGCAACGATTATCGAAGTACGTATTAATTGAGATTATTAATTGATATTATTAATACCAGATGTTTTGTGCGCGAATGTTTCAATTCAATCAGAGGTATTTCATTGAAATATTTTGCAGAAGATAAATAATAATTACTTATATGAAATCTTACATTTTAAAAATTCCATCATTGACATATAATACCCTCCACAAGTTTGGAAACACCTTACATTTTACAGTTAAACAATCACATAGCGGCGATCTACGTAGATTTTTTGTATGAATAAATCACAAGATATTTAAATGACATTTTTATATTATCATTTAAATATCTTACGATATGTTCATACAAAAAATCTGCACAAATCGTTGCAATGCGATTATTTAACTGTAAAATGTAAAATGTTTCCAAACTTGTGGAAGGTACTGTATATAAAAAAATAAGATGCTATATAGAAATAATATATAATATTGCTATAAAGCACGCATATGCATTTTTCTATATATATGCTATTTTTCTAATAATAATCTTAAAATATTAATAATATTTTTTCATATAACATTTAAGTGTAATTAATTGTTTTTGATTTAAGATCGCTACGACCACCACGACCACTCCGGCACCCGTAATAATACGCCAGCGAGTTCGAGGTCGCCTAGGAGGTGGTCGCCCTCAACAGGATTCCGCGATTCAAACGCGACCCCGGGGTCCTCAGGATGAGTACGTTCGTTTCACCGTCGTAAATCACGATTCCAGTCGCGGCTCGAGTAATCGAAATCGCGATGGATCGAGGACGAAGACGCGCGCTCGTCCGCAGAATCATGGCTCGCAGGTGCAGACCGAGGGTAACGAATATATAAAGATACACGCCGCTCAGCAGCAGAGGTTGGTCGCAACCACTACACCGTCGACGACGACAACCAGCACAACCGCTCGCGCTGAGGAAGAAGACCTCGATTACGGATTTATAAGGCCGCCGAGCTTCCGGCCGGTGCAACCGGTGCATCCGGTGCATCCGGTGGACAGCAGATTCCAAACTCCAGTTACATATAGACCCGCTTTATCCGAGGTATGTACGTTTTGCATGTAGAACAGAAATGTGTAATTTTAGGTACACAAATCAATTTTAACGTCTAACCATTTTTAAGTTCAAGTTTCAAGGAACTGTCATTATTTCAATCAGATCCTGTTCTAATTACACAGAATATTTGTTTTACTCGTCAGCAGTAGAACTTTTGACCGAAAAACAAAATAGCTTTTTCCCACAAAATATTATAAAAAACTATCTCATGTTCCACAATGTCTTTCTGTATCTTTGTTTGTCTTTATGACATAAATTATAATTTTAAATCGTAATTTCCAAGGAACAAGCACTCATTCTTTTAATATATTTTAATCAACCGTGGTAAAATTCTCACGTATTAAACAAGATATAGTTAATTTTTTTACGGATTTCTATTACAATTTGTAATAATGTATTATATATACACAATTAATGAAACATACATTTTTATGATTAATCATATTCTATCAAAATTTTGTCATCTATTAATTATCGGTTTAAGTTTAAGAGATAATCTGTTCTAGTTTTTATTAAAAAAACATGTATAAAATTTTTTAATTTTTTTCCTTTTTTTCAAAATTACATCTCTTCAAATATTTTGTAGTGAGATTGTGTGTAACCCATCAATCTCTTTCTCGACAATCACCTAAAATTTTTCAATGTTTTCAATATTACGCAAAAGTCACTTTTCACTAAGCGTACTATGAAACTTTCGTATGAAATACTCCATCAATCTTCCCTTCAACGTCCTATATTACACAGAAAGCATTAATAAATGCGAATAAACCCATCGCAGATACAGCATATAATATCCAACGACGAAACGGCGGTGGAATCGAGTCCGACTCACGTTTTGAAAAATCGTCCGAAATACAATCAGATTTCGACCCGTCATCCAACCACTAAAATATTCACGACAACGACAGAAACTGTACCTGTTGCAACGACGATCCCGGATGATACCGTATATACGGTGAAACCAAAAACCAGGCCGGATGAACCGAAACAGACGAGAATACGAGGAAGAATCCGTCGTCCGGTAAAGAAACGTCCGAACACGGAATCCGAGGCAAGCAACGAATTGCCGTTGGACGAGAACTATCCTCGAATAACCCCGCAACAACTGCCGATGACAAGGCAGCCTCTCTACGATGACAATTTCGACGTGCCGCAATTCAACGTGCCGAATCAGAATCGACCGACACCATTCTACGAGGAGAATAGCGAAAACGTAAGTAAATTCTTTAATCATAGCTCGCTTGAAAAAAGTTCATACTAATAAAAAGAATTGCAATTAGTTTCTTTTTTTAATTCAAAATTTATAATATGAAAATTTATCGTACATAGAGAGAATTTTTTTTTTAAATTTATCATGAAAATCATAGTAATATGACAATATGGTATTGGAAAAATTTTATAAGAATTTCTCTGATTAATATTTACCATAATAAAAATATTAATATCTATCACAATAAGATATAAAATATGTTTGATTAATTTTATTACGTATGTATTAATATTTTTTATTGTTGTAAATATTAATCAGAGAAACTTATTATATTATCCTTGATTACCATAATTTTTAGGGTGGATCTAAGAGAAAATTCTCTTGCTGTATACTACATTTTAAATAGCGAACTTTTCCTTCAATATTTTTCTAAAAGATGCGATTTACTCTAAACTCTTCTTTCTGGAGCGCAGAAATGTAACACGCGCGCGTATTTTTCCAGTATCCACCTCAGGAACTTATTCTAAACTTCGGCAATCGACCGGAGCAGGTGTCACAACGGGAGGAATACGATCAGACTCAATTGGCTAGCCGAATAATTTCATCAAGCAAGTACAGTCATTCGAATCGCGAGCAATCCAGCGGTGACATTTACGGCGCCGAGAGTCAATGGTCCACGAAGCTGTCAAAGACGTCGTTCCAGCCGAGCTTCGCCTCGAATCGCGTTGCTGACGAGTCGAAGAAGGAACGGATTCGCGACGATCATGAAAACGAAAAAGCGCCCGAGATTATTACGGCCCAGCCGGAAGTGGCTTCGGGAGTAACGGTGGTCGTTTCCTCCGACCAGAAATCGCCAAACCTCGCCGGCAACACGGACGCAATGATGGATAGCGTTGTTTTCGGAATGAAGACGAATGCGCAGGATTTAACGGAGAAATTGAATGCCACGACGGCTACAACGACGACAATACTTCAAGATCGAACCCAAAGCGATAAGGAAACATTAGTCGAAGCGCAGATGAAAGATAAGGAAGATAACGTTATGGAACAGACAGACGAGGACATGAAGATGAAAAAAATGGTCGACCCTTTACGAGAAAGGTAAAATATTATATCTAAAACATTGATTTTTTAATACTTTGTCATTAATAAAATAATATATATTTATGTGACACGTAATGTTACTTTATCTACTAGTTCAAAATTAATTATATTTTCTCTGATTTTATATAAATTATATAACAATTTAATATATAAATAAATAAAAATCTAAATTATGTAGATATCAAAATATTTCGAATCTTTTGATTCTCAGGCTAAAATATAAATGATGAAAAATTTATTATAAAATATTGCAATTAAAATTATACATTACGATGACTTCTTTTGTGTGATATATGCCAGAAGTAATAAAAAATAAATTGAAAATTGATCTTTCAGACTCGAAGAAGAAGAGTCCGTGTGCGGGTAAGGCCCGTGAATAAAGATGATTTTGTCAGTGCCGAATCGCAACATTTCAACTCCGCAGTGAACAACCTGGTTCAAGATCAATACAAGCCTAACGCGATCCGTGAATCGAAGTTCACCACTGAAGTTCAACCTACTACCGTTATTGCAACCACGACGATTGCCGCAGAAACGACGCGGAAATCTCTGCTGCAGAACTTTTTGGAAGAGATGCTGAAGAATGACGAGGTCTCCATTCCGACGCGCGTTACATCAATCACGGATACATCCGATTGGACGATAACAACGCCGATGACGACACCTTATGTAATTTCAGATAGTGGTGATATGACAACTTTGAAGGAAGACTACACGCAGAGTAGCGCAACGTTGACATCAAATACTGATGAAGAACGCGTTACGATGCCGAATAAAAGTTTAACCGGATGGAAAAACAATACTGAAGAAACGACACCGTCTGAGGAAACTGCTCGCTTGTTACAGGAAGAAACTAAAGTGCAAGAGGAAGCAAATTTCGGAGAATATTGGGACAAGAATTCTGAAGATCAAAGTGAGCAGAATAATTTGGAGAATGTCGAAATATCCAGTCCAAATGATAATTTGTCATCGAACAATCCGGATAGATCAGAAATTTCCAAGGAAATTGAAGATACCATAGCGGAATTGACCGACTCTTCGGCTACGAAGGAAGAGATACGGAAATTGAGTGCCATCAATAAAGGGAAGCAGCATATAATGACGTTGAAGAAGCATGACGAAAATCTCGAAAAAAATAACGCGCATCCGAAGAATCACAGAACTAAGTGGAGCGAAGTAAGATACCCGTTAACCCCCGACCAATCGCAATCTACGTTGAAACTGCAATTGACAACGCCCATACCCCGAAACGAGAGTGATCCCAACGTGAAAACAATCTCCGATTATGTAAAGGCCATCTTTGACAGCATGAAGAATGCCGAGAATCAGGAAGAAGTAGAAGAAATAGCGAAAGTGGTCGAAGCTAAACACGAAACTCCTGAAAAAGCAGATCAAATAATCGGCACGACCGACTCTTCGCGAGACATTTTTACAACGCAGCGTATCAATATTGAAGAGTACGCGACTAATCCCGAAGAAAGCCAAGGTATCACCGAGACGACGACGACGACGACGACGAAGAAGAATGTTATTTTCGAAACAACCACATTGATCCCAGACACGACCACGAATACGGCGGTATCGTTCGAAGAGATAATAACAGAGCCTTCCACGTCGACCACGAAAACAGCATCGATTAGACGAGCTACAGGCACGGTGATTAGGGCAGACCAGACCATGCTAGGCAAGGTTCTCAGAACCTCAACTACCACGAAGGTGTCTCACATGACGGAGATTTGCTATAGAGGTCGATGCGTGATGACGAAACCCAAGATGGACGACGTTATGGAAAGATGAGAAAAATTCGATGTGATGCGACGTCAGAGACGCCGATTCAATTAATCGCAAAGTCATCTTTAGCACTTTTCTGTTCGGTTATTATAGAAAATATATAATAATGTGATGAAAGACAATTTCTAGAATGGCCATCTATCTTTATTAGATGTCTATTGTTGCTGCAAAATACAGCAAGATAAATCGAATAATGTCTGAAATAATTTAATAATGTTTTAATATCAATATGTTTAGAAATATATATGTTGTTTATTCTTACATAAAACATAAAATCTATAAAAAAAATAGTGTAAAAAACAAGAAAAATAAAAATATAACCGGCGAGAAAAGTGTTAATTGATGTATTTTCAAATTATTTTTATTTATTGATCGATATATATCGCACTTATGAATTTTCAAACGCTATATTCATTTTAATCTGCGAAATTATAGTTAAGTTTTCGTATTATTTTGCATTCTGCATATTCTCTCATGCAATACAAATAATTATCATAATTTTCTATCAAAACAATTCCATTATTTACGCATTCAAATTTATATAAATGAATATTTATATCGCAAAAAATAATATTTTATTAAAAATATCGGTCGTGAATGAAGATTCAGCTCGATAACATAATATGAATTGATCACACGACTGACTTGTTTTATGCGTCGTACAAAAACATATAGAGAATAATCAATGTTCTTCAGCTTCATTTGAGAGAAGATATTTTATTGCTAGGAGCTCCGGCATCGTTCAAGATGTCGCAACAAATTACGTGTTATATGTCGGGGTTAAAGGCGAAATACCAACATGATATCAGCCGTGAAAAGGGACTTCCCCTTCTGGAAAGGAAATTCCGCGTCGTTGGCGCAAATCGATCGTTCGTCGCGACGCGTGTTTATAAAAAGGACGCCGAGCGTCCTTCCAGCGAGATCGAAGCGCGAAAGCTCGACTCGAACGAGTAATCGTCCATCGTATCGTTGAAAAAAATATAGAGAGTTAAGTCTATTTAATTTAATTACACACACTCGTGTAAGTTAAGCGTGTAAGTATTTGAATAACGAGTATTTTAATAAAGACGCGAGAATGCAAGAAAATCGTCCGCTCCGACTTGATTTCACATCCTTCTCGCAACGAAATGTATTTTAATCCTCTCGAGATAGATCTCCCTTTATTTATTCAAGAGAGAGATTTTTGCGAAGGTCTTATGTAAATTGCTTCCAAATGGATACAAATATATCTCGACAATAATTTCGAGCGAGTTTATAAATAGAAACTAGTTTGAAGATCTGCGCGCGGTCGCGCATCCTAGTAACTTTTCCTCCACGTCCACGTTAGCTTTTATCCCTCGCGTCGCTTGGCAAAACCCACCCTTACACACACGTCTCCATCGATCGGTAAAGTACAACCCCAACTCGTGCAGATGGTGCCACGTCACGGAGGGGCGGCATTTCGGCGCCTTCCAACATAGTAGGGGATGCTCGTGGAGGGGTCAACCGTACGTCGTCATCGTGCGAGTAGATGACTATGTTGCATGGGTAAGCCACGTAGGCGGCGGCGGGTGAGCAGCGTTGAGACGTCAGGAGGGTAATAAACGAGGGTGGGTGCGGGTAGCGAGGAGCCAGGGGTGAGAAAGCGCGAAAGTGGGGTGGCCGAGAACGACGTAGCGAGGGACCGAGTCACAGTCCAGTTGAGGCGCAAGGGTCCTCCGGCCAAGGACTACGATCCCTGGCTGTCCGGGACATTATGCCAGGCGGCGAGGGGTCCTCGATCAATCTCCTCGACCACCATCATCACCACCGTGCGTCGACGGACGAGTGCGCGAACGGTGATGATGTTAGAACCGGGCCGAGTACCGGCGCGACCTTCACCAGCACGATGACGAGCGCCCTAGCGGGCGACGGTCTTCGGCGCAGAAAGGTCATCCACGCGGCCCGAGAGACCCTCGACAAGGGTAAGTCGGAAGCCCCCTTTGTTGCCCTATTTTTTTTTTTTTTTTTTTTTTTTTTTACGGTACCTTGTCATTTCGCGTTGCTTCCTTACGAAACCTCGTTGCGGGTACCAACTTCGAGAGAGTGCCCCGGAGAGTGCCCCGATTCGCGTACGCGGATATCGAGGGATCGATCCTCCTACCCCAACATGATACCGCCTGCCGCCCGATAAGGCGGAACGTTCTTCGATCCGTACCTGGTTTCGTTTAACGAGGTGATCGCGAAGAATCGAATCGACGTTCATTATCGTGCCGTTTAATTCACGAATCGCGATCTACGATTAACTATGTGTCTCTCGATCGCTTTTCACGTCTCTTATCGCGTTCAGTGTGGCACTGGGACACTTGGAGAATGCTATAATTTAGTTGGCATGAATAAAAAATTTCTTGCCGCGCGCTGATTCATTTATCAAATGAAAATTATATCTGGATGAAACTTTTTATAAGTTTTCTTTTTCTATGTTTCATTCGTATTCACGTCGACTTTTTTATTATGCGTGCCCTAATTTGTTCCATGTGTCGATTTATTATTTAATGTTGAATTAATATTATTGAATAATACATGATAATGGATTCAACGAATTCATGTGATTATTTTCGCATTTTTGAATTATTTACGCTATCGTTGATATATTTATTAATATGTTAGATGATGTATGTACGAACATGTTGAGACTCATAAATAATACATAAAGTGGAGTTCAATGAATTTATGCGGTCTTTGATAAAATGACGAAACGACATCATATTCGATTTACAGTGATGAATATTTTTACAAAAGAAGCATGTTTTATGTCATCTTAATCTCTTTTAACGATCGATGTTTTCAGACCGCCATGTTGCAGTTGCATTTTCGAAATGGTTGCTATTATGGCATTTATGTGAATATTATTGAAATGTCAAATGCAAATGTTTAATGTTAATCCTTTGTTGATGACATATCTTTTGCAGTAATTATATCCACTGTGCAATTTAAATTTTCCATTAATCGTTCATATATTACATATGTATATGACCGAGAAACGGTGTCTGATGTAAACTCGTGCTCCCTATCTCTTTTGAAATGATATACGAATATCAAATAATAATAACGCAAATAGAACAGATAAAAATTAGAAAATGCGAAAATAACAGCATTTATGAAATCCATGTATCACACGCATATATTATTTTAATATAGTAATTAATATTAATGCAATATATATTATATATGAATAATAAAGCTCCGAAAGCTACACAGCTGGCTTATTTAAATATTTAAAAATCCAAATCTCAGAGATAACTGCAATAACTACGCGAAACTCTGCAGTTCCACATCGCCGAATCTTGTCGATTCTCCTACGCTTTGCCAATTTTAACATTCGGCGTATCAAAGGTGTTACGTAAGCACATCTCGCACGTGGACGGAATACATTATATATAGCCGGAATAAGTGAGCAAAACGCTATTCCGTAAATAATTTCTTACGAAATTATTCGTATATAATTTAACAACAATAATAATAGCAACGATAATAATAAAACCATTAAAATCAACGATAATCGATGGTGACTTAATTTCATGATAGCACAAAAATTGCGATGGATCATAGCTTATAACAAACGTAAAATTTTAGCATGCACTGAAGTTGTTTCAAACACCTCTTATTAATTAACCGAATTTGATTAGCGCGAAGTACACGCGAAGCTAGTTTCAAATTTCGAACTGCATCGAAAACAACGTTAACCCGAATTCGTTTGATGCATAGTAGAAAGATGAAAATATACTGTCTGATTATATATACATATATTCAATTTTTTTTTATTTTAAGATTATTTAATTCAATTTTAATCTAAAGTTTATATCTGAATTTAATTATTTCAAATTCATTATATTTTCTATAAAAGGAAATTTTGCACTGAGCAAACTTTAGAGTTGCTGCATTTTGTAAACGTTCAAAGGGAACGATTTTAATGGTTGTAAAGTTGAAAAGGCATAGAAGATCACCAGTGCTCTCAGAAAGTACAGTTCTTTAAAGATATAAAGCGAAGAAGAACGCTTAGCATTTGTTAACATCGGTCTCAGTTGCGCCGCTTGAATACGAGTTACTCGACCTGTTTTTATGTCACATCACAATTGCGCATTGAACCAAACGATGCGACACATTGTGCGTTACTATGCTGTACGTTATTTACTGATTTGCCGGCAGGCAACTCAAAATAACATTTACATTGGCTTTGAAATAGAAATCAGACCAGACTGCTATTTCCGCAATTATACATCGCATTTTCATTCAATATAAATTTCTATAATTATCGTGGAATTTCGTTAGATACTTACAATACAACCAAATTTCTTAATAATACGAGATAAACATAATTATTTTATGATACGTTATTATTTATCTGACAATTGTTACCTAAGAAATTTGATCATTTTTCAAAAGATTTATTGAGTTTTTTATATATAATGTAGCGGATCTTGTTATTTCTTTCCAATCTTACATAATTTTATAATTTTCTTTTTTTTAATCTCATCCTGAAACTTGATAAAAATACGAACTTTTGACGTTTTATGTGATTAAGTTAAATTACACCTATATATAAGATAGATGAAAAGAAGATTTATATACTTCGTAAAGTATACCTGCGGTAACTACTTCATTGTTAAAAAATATTGCAAAAAAAAATACGCTTCTACAACGTGTTCTGAACGAGAGTGTAATATAATGTACATTGTAATATAATCGATTTTCGATTAGCAGTTGTGAGTTATGATACTACGGTCGTAAAAATACTTTAATGCAGGATAATATATAGTTTAATAAGGCAGGATAACCCTTCAAAACATTTATATCCCGCTCTTTATATATTGAACAATACTTTAATTAACGTTGTTATTTCAATAAAATCGCGTCATTTCATTATCACGTTTCATTACAGTAAACTTTAAAAAGAAACTAAATTGAGTGTATTGTATTGTAATATTTTAATGAAATGTTATTGCAGTATTAATATTATATTTTTTACTATGTGATGTATTCACTATAACTTTTTAATAAAATTGTTTTTTGAAAAATTATTTAACTTGAAAAACTGTTATAATGATTGCACTGGCGCCTCCAAACCTTTTGCTATTCGATGTTATCTGATTGCAAATGTAGGCAAAGTTCTCGTGTACTGACCTTATTTTGAGTTGATGAAGCAAGACGATTTCAATAAAAAATTCTCGTGTGCCTCACGATAGTTGTTTACATGCATCATCGATTTCGAAGAATGCTACAAGTCTATAATCGTATGCCTGCAAAAAAAATACAGAGTGTTTTAAAGATATAATATTAATGGACGAAGAATATTAATAGATGAAAAACGTTGTTTAGAAAACAAAAAGAAAAGTAAATCTCAATTTATTTGAAGATACTGACGCAGTAGCTTTTTGTTAACATTTTTCTTGAGGATTATATAAAGAAAAAAGTGCACAGGGATCGAAAATTGAGGAGGATCTGTTTCACGCAGTTCCGTAATATACATGATACACGCACCGATGTTAAACGAGGATGTTAAATAATATTCTAACGGAAACGCGATTTTCTAGTTCACGAAACGACCGTGTCCGTAATTTCCGTGTTTTGTACTGCATGTCCGAGATGTAGATAGCGTGCATCTCGCGTGAGAGAGTATATATCTGTATATACATAGCGGGCGGCTATGACGTAAAAGGGATTCTCGCTTCCCCTTTTCGTCCCTCTCCAAAATGAGATGCGGTGGTAGCATTTCAACAACGGTTCATCCAAAGGATTCGGAATGGGGACCTTCTGAGGCAGCTTAACCGCGACGTATATTCTAGATACACACGAAGGTGCGAATTTCTGGCCTGATGGTGCTCGCGAGTTATTAATTATTCAAATAGTTTCACGCATTACTACGGCGTACATGAGTTTAATAATCGACTAATTAAATTAAATTCATAAAATTAACAAAACTTATTAATAAGTTTTAGCACTAAATCTTTTTCGTTTTAATTTTCTGCTTAATAATACGATATTTCAATTTTAAGACACAAATAAATCAGTTTTGTGTTTATATTGCAAGTTACATATTAAACTGATAATCCTTTTTATAATATTAATTTATCAATTTATGCTGCTTTTCTCGAAATTATAAATATATAAAGAATATATGAGAGAAAGAAGAACATAAAGATTTTATTTTATTATAAGAATATAAAAAGAATAAAAAATATTATACAAAAAGATAAATTTTTGAGAAACACTAGATGCTGTGACTTGATTGTTATTATTATTATACATGGAAATCGCAGCTGGTGTTAACGAAAATCACAATTCAAATTGTGTTTTTCAACTGACAAATAAAATACTGGGAGTAACTGAGTTTACATTAGCAATCCTTCAACAACTGTTGGAATTCTGCCATCATTTACGCTAGATTGTCTCACTACATTGTTTGGGTAGTCTCCAAAAGCAATAATTTAGTGGAAACAAGGGTTCAGAGCCTATATTTACTATTGCAGAATACAATGTTGCTATTTTTTTTACAGTCGAAATTTTAGAGGAAGAAATCTGATGTGCAAAAAAATTAATAGTTTAAAAAATAAAAATAAAATATCAATATTTCATAAATAATTTTCACGAATAAGATATTTATAAGATAACGTCAAAACAATTATATATATTCATCTTTCCGTAGAAATCCTAATGTTACATATACATATATTTAATGAATTTACCGCGGTTCATTACAATATACCTTGATGAGAGATTTGAAATTTTGCGGACGTAAATTTTGACGACGTTGATGAATGTCTACGTTCAACCCCTTACTAGAGACTTTCAAATACATCCCGAAGTAATCACGTACCCTACTTTATCTTCTCGAGGGATTTTTAGTCATTACACGTATTCGTGTACATAAGATTAATGACCACGTCCGTTTACATAACAGTGTAATGTATCACTCGATTTCCATTACATATGTTTGGAGAAACCGATTCTTACAACATCGATTAACTTGAACCATAGTTTAATTGTTTCTCTGTCCCTTTCTGGAAACTATAGAGGCAATCAAACTACAACTAAAGTCAGCTAGACTGACGTCAGCAGAATCGAATTCAAGCGATGAAATGACAAAGATAACATTTTACAAATTACAGAAGGAACGTAGAAAACTACAATATGTATTCATAAGAAACAATATTTTTATCATTTCTATCTTACCAGATTTCCATCAATTAATTAAAAAAGAAGTTTTATAAGAAAAGAAAATATATATATAAACTTGTCATAAAAATGTAAATTGAGACGCAAAATTTCCATAATTGATATATCCTTCAGATTAATTCTCATAAAACAATCGATGTCCTCTTTTTCTATTAAAAATACGCGCATGCTTGTTTATCACTGTAACGATTTGTAAAATTCTTAATGCATCGAGAAACGTGTAATTAATCTATTTCAGGGACCATTTAATGTTGCAACATGGATAAATTTATTTTCTTGAGGTCACGGTTCAGTTTGCGATAGTTCAAAAGTCGATTTTTAATTAATAAATATGCACCTACGCTAAGTTAAAGCGATTTATGTTACAATTAATAAAATAAAATATCGCACGTGTCATATTGTAAGTGTATAAATAATCGGAAAAGCTAAATTTTAGACGCAGTAAAATGAAAATGCTAATATTTACGATATAATTATAAGATAATTAATTATAAGATAATTAAATATTCCTAATAATCAAACATTTCGTTTCTTTCAAAATAATTAAAAAAAAAATTATATTCAAATACTTTGAAATTCTACACAAAAAATACAAAAAATTAAAATAAAAAAAAATTTTATAGTATAAAATATTTTATAGTATTTAATTAATTAAATATATATATAATATTTTATAGTATTTAAAATATTATCGTGCAGATTTTTATATATCTATTGGTGAAAATAAAATTTTGGCTATTGATAGTATCAAACATTCAATTCAGGAAAAAATTACTTTAGGATTTTCAATTTTGAGACAAATAATACATTATATCTATCTAATACGAATTTATCATATCTTAATGGTTACACGTGTATTTCTCTTTACAGCATCCCGTCTTCTAAGACGAAAAATACCATGTACAGGCCATTTAATGACCCCCCGCCGCCTATGGATACAAAAGGTTCCTACTCAGGTATGTATTTGAAACTTTAGATGTTATTTCAAATAAATTATACATATATGTAGAATTGGTATTTTTGTATACTGCAACAACTATTCGCATAAATCAATTATAAAGTTTAAAATACTAAATATGAGTTATAGGCTATATACATTTTACTCCGATTATCCCTACAAGTTTATGATAATACGCAAATGCTTTGTGAGGAAAAGTGTCTCGACTTCTCGACTTGTAATATAATAACACGCTCGTAAAATATTCTTTTTATACTCGATTGTTACGATCACTGCGATAACGCTGGTTCTACGTACTTTTATTAACAATCTATATTCAAGTATTCTATTTTTTCTCCGTGTACGTGACTATCTTGCAATCAATTGTAATATATAATGTGATGAAAAGTGGAGTATGTATATCACCATAAATACAGCAAATACTCCGAAAAGAAAAATGTTTGACACAAATAATAAGGATACGGCAATTTTATTTTATATAGGTATAAACAAAAATAAATAAATTTATTTTTTAAATTGATTTATGTCGAATTTATTATATCGTGAGCAACAATCATTAAAGAATGTGGTTCTATGGAAGTAATAATATCGATTTTAAACACATTAAACCATTAGTGGATATCGAAGAAGTTCGCGTGTACTGCGGCGTTTACTTCGAAGCTACATTGTTGATTTTATGCTATTCTGTTTGTCTTTTACTATTCTCGTCTTGAATTGTGCGGGTTCGATTCTTGTTGTGTCAGCACAATGTGAGATGAATTTATCTTGGATATATTATTTTATATAATATAAGATGTTTAGAATGTAATTGTATTAAATTCAAACAATATGTTAAATATATATTTTCAATAAAAATATCATATATAAATCTTTATTCGAAATAATTATATAACTCGTACTTATAAAAGATTAAAATCTTTATTAATGCTTCAATAAATTCTTTCAATAAAATTTTTATTAATGCTTCAATAAATTTACAAGTTTAATATAAAAACTTTTAACAAGAAAAACGAAATATTTAAAATTAAAATAATATTTTGATTTTATAATAGCTTTATTTGTAACAATAATTCTTAACCAATTCTTTATATGAATTTACTTTAACATTGTATAAAATATAATAATTCGAAGAATTTAACTTTAAAGATCTTTAACAAACAACGTGAAACATCAATATCGAACTTATTTGAAAAGCTATTTTGAGAATATAATGTAGTGTAAAAAATAAATATTATTTCTACTTCAAGTATTTTGTTTTATTTTTTCCAAAGTCATTTGATATTAGTTTGTCAGTTTCAATATTGTAACATTAATATAAAACTTGTATATATCTTGGAATTATATAACTACTTTGAACAAAATTTAAGATCTATAATATTTTTCATACTTCAAATAATATCTTCAACAAATTGTCAAAGTTCTTGATACTCGTTATAAGGCACCTTGTATATAAGTATTGTATCGCCTCTGCACAATTCTCTCTTATTGTCTTCTCAAGTAGGTCATCACTGTATAACAATTATAGTGCATTGCAGTCTCAATGATTGTGATGCACAATACTTTATCGCGTATCACCAGGCATGCTTACTTATTACGAGCGAAATGTAATCATTCGCTTTGTTACTGCTATTAAATACCGATTTCACGTAACTTTGCTAGTGTTATTAAGTGATACGTGATTCATTTTCAAACTAAAATGCATCTCTCACGTGTGGAAATAAACGTTACGTTTATCTGTTACATAGAAGATTCAGAAATTCTATTTTGCGATATATTAATATATCATTTTTCTAGCTCTCCTTATAATTTTTTTTTACTTTCATGTAGGAAATAAACTGATTCTTTTAAAATTAATTAATATACAAAATAAGAAATATTCACCCTAGAGTTGCTCTACCGGCACCCGATACCTCTCCTAGGCCTCCTCCTCCTCTCAGATTGTTAGGGTTGTTCATTGATTAATACGCGCGACACTTTTAACGGCACTCCCGCACTTTTACGCGCGATACTTTTAACGGCACTCCCGAACTTTACGTGATCTGTAACAAACAAATATAAAATCCAAATTATAGCAAAATGTCGAAAATAATTAATATTTCCACTATATCATTTATATTTATGTTAACTGTGAAGTTTATTTCATACTATATCCACGTCATTAAATAGTTATATTTTTCCAAACATGTCAGGTAAAGTCATTTGCTTAATTTTAAAGAGACAACTATGCAAATGCAACAGGTATCGTGACGTACATGTTATTTAAAGAATAATCTGCATATGTATGCATTACTCATAAGTTAATAATTTTTCTGACGATATCCGTTATTACCATTTACAAAAATAAATATTTTTGCATATAAACAAAAACGCATGTACATTTTTCTTACGACACGCAAGCAATGTACCATGAATTTTTTTTCGATTCAATGAGATGAGAAAAATTACTGCGTCATTATGTAAGATCTTTAGTTTAATATAATATCTTATCAAGTATACAAAAAATAAATGTCTCGTTGTTGATAGTATAAATATTATGATTAATTGCATATGTGTAACTATTTTTTTTTCTCGATTAATAGCAGTTTTTACGTCTAATCTTTGCATTCGAATCAGCATAAGTTGGCTAACATCCAAATAAAATTGCATAGCGCTTGGTATTGCCAATCCACGTACGATACTCCGATAACACGGCTGACCTAGTAATGCACGTAACTACTTGGCGACCCCACTAAACCTTCGAGCGGTTTTCTCGATCGTTTGAGATTATTAATATTTCACGAAACGACGTGAAGGATCGTTGAACTATTTCTTAAAAAGCACATATGGATCTAATTGATGTATATAATGATCCAATAAAAATGCACAATTTTTTTCTTTCTGATCCTTTGTACATAAAATTAAATCAAAATTTGATTATAAAATCTATTTCTGTTCAATAAATTAAAACACCGTTCATTATTCAGTATAGATATACGCAAAATCATTACTTTTTATGACATATTTCAGTTGCATTATATGACATTTATAAAATTATAATATCAAATTTGATTTTGAAATTTCAGACATAATAATAATACATAAAAGCAAATAACATAAGTTCAGTGCAGAACCTAAATATGAAAAGTAAAATATATTTAATAATGTAATTTAAAGAATTATTAAACAGAAATTTCAATATGCACATGAATATATCTCAAAAACGGATATTTACAATTAATTCTTACATTGAAAAAAACTTATTAAATTCAAATAAATATTTATTTCAATCATCTTTTATAAATAATTTATTTGAAACTAATAATATTGATTTGATGTGAAAAAATATTTATTTGATGTAAAGAAAATCCTTTTCAAAACAGATAAATATTTATTTGTTTAAAATAAATGATTTATAAAGCATCTCTTTTTCAGTGTAGAATGCATGTAATATTAGTTGTAATTCTAATATAGGCTAATAATAGAAATAAATTATAATTTTTGAGAGAAATGTATTAGTAATTATTTATATAAAGTTTCATATTTAATCATTTTTACTGTTCCAATATATTTTTTAAATTTAATTATATTTCAGTACGCAAACTGCACACAAAAAAACTAAATAATTCGACTTGTTTCAGGAATGCGACGTAGTTATGATGTTCCCTAGTGGGGCGAATGACGAGACCTTGATGTGGTTTTTAGGACGGCTTCGGGCTGGAACCCCGGGCTTAATAGTTCACGTACGACATCATGCGTCATCGGACAGTTACGGGTTTTACATTACGGCACCTTTTGGAGTGTGAGTATCCGATTTTCAGATTAAACTTTAATATGAAAGCGCGATAGATAGTACAATCGAATAGCTTTAACTCCATTGGCTCGCAGTCTACTAAAGGCTGCTGAGGAAGTGCATCTACCGAAAGCTCTACGACAGGAATTTGGTGGTGGATTCAAGGAGTTCGTCGGCTCTGAAGCCAACTGCTTCGAGGGCAGTGACGACGAAATCCGATTTTTCAGTACCCAAGAAAGACAGTCTCTAGTATTACATTTGCTTCACACCTGGAGAGCAGGTCCGCATGACCTCCACAGTCTGACCGGATTGGTGGAAGGTCAAGCGATCGTTCCAAAGTGCATTTCGTCCGGTATTATTTCTCAGGTGCGATATATATAAATATATATTAATAATATTATATATAATATTATATATACTCTCTAAATTTCTTGGAATCTCCAAAAGTGTAGGATCTCACTCCAAGAAATTTATATAGACAGTATATAATATTATTATTATATACAATAATATTGTTAAAATATATTTATATATATAATTCGATCATTTGCCTCATCCGTATCTCTTCGAATCTCTTCTTCGTCGAAAGAGAATTCTGTCACTTTCATTACTTTATTTTTGTTCTCGTCAGGTCTTCCCCCTTCATGAATTGCCCGCGTTAGAAAAATTGCAACGAAGCTGGGTTCGCGCGTTTTTTAGCCCACAGCCTTTGGACGACATTTGTAAATACTTCGGAGTGAAAATCACTATGTACTTTGCCTGGCTTGGCCACTACACCACCGCTTTAATCGTTCCAGCTGCAGTGGGTGTCATATACTGGGTACGTATGCGTTTCGCATATGTAATTTGAACAAATTAAGCAATAAAAATAAAAATGCACGCATGGAGTAAACGCGTGTAAAATGCTAATATTTATTGATGTCTAATAAATAAAACAAAGCAAAATTTAATTTGCAGAATAAATTGATTTTTAATTGATATAGGCTATTTTGACACTTGAAAATATAAGAACCTTAGTAAGTATCATATCCTGACTGTTTAGGTCGGCATCATCGGCAGGAACCAAGCGGTGGAGGACGTGGCCTACGTTCTGTTTTCGGTGTTCAATGTGATATGGGCTACCGTGTACTTGGAGACATGGAAAAGAAGAGGCGCGGAACTGGCGTACAGGTGGGGCACTTTGGATCAGAGGGACGATTTATTGGTCGAGCCTAGACCTCTGTTTACAGTAAGAACCTTTCGAACATTTCTTAAGCACTCCGATATCGGCATGGTAACGCCGTAGCGTGCTAATTCAGCGTTGACACCTGCACAGTGCTATGAGAATAGATACGCTTTTGCTATCATTTTAATCGAGAATATATAATGAATACCACGGAGGGGTTTTAACAAATAAAAATTTATTTATAAGAAGAAGCTCGAAGTTCGATATTCAATTACGATTCTAACTTTGTTAAGGGAACTCTGGAAATCTCACCGGTTACGGGAAGATTGGAACCAACGTATCCCAGATGGCGTAGGAACATGTTTCGGTATTTAGTGAGCGTGCCTATCATCGCAATCTGTTTACTCTTCGTCTTCATCGTTATGATATTGAGTTTTCAGATACAGGTATAGAATCGCACAAAATCACGTTATAAAAGCTACATCATATGATTATATAATTACTTAAAAAATATTTAAAATAATTATTCAGATTATTCCCCAAAAAATCCGACAACATTTCGATACATAAAAGTAATAAAGTTATCCTACTTTAAGATTCATAAAATCAAAAGATAAATCAAATGTATAAAAAAGTTCAGAGCGAATAAATGTATATAATTCACTCTGCATCCTTATGAAATATAGAAGCTGTATATGTATAAAAAATTGTTTGAAGAAAATGTATATAGAATTTATACTAATAAATCCTTTAATTTGTTTTTGTTGCAAAATCGCAGGATTGGTGGGACGCGCGTCTTGAATCTGGAGGTTACGGATTCTGGCTTAGTTACGTGCCAAAGGTTTTGCTCGCGGTGGTCATTGCATTGATGGATGAGGCGTACTTCAAGGTCGCGGTGTGGTTAAACGATTTGGGTATGTATGCCAATATAATAATCGATTCCCTACATTTCAACACATATATATCTCTCTCCCTATCCCTCTCTATTTCTCTCTTCTTCTCTATAACTATCTATCTGTCTATCTCTCTCTCTCTCTCTTTCTTTTGACATAATCGTATCTCCATGCGACTCAAAATACGAACAATTACCATTGGCCGACTCTTCTCCGCATCGATTTGTGTATTTTACATATACGGTACACTATGCACGTCTAGTTCAAGAGCATAGCATATACTTATGCGATAATTTTTCCACGGCTTAGCTTCTTCTAGAGAATAATTGGGAGATTATGTAACAAAAACAGTTACATTAAAGATTATTGTTCTGTTTTTTTTTGTTTAACTAAACCTGTGAGATATAAATATAGATACAGTTTCAATTTTATTTAAATCTTGGAGAGCGTTTATGGTACGGTAGATAGTATTTGTAATTTTTGTGTGTTGGACGCAGAAAACTATCGACTAGACACCGAGTACGAGAATCATCTGATCTACAAAGTGGCACTGGTAATAAGACGAACTCTCCATTCTCAATGAATAGAATATCAATGTTGTGTTAGGCGTTGTACATATATCCTTCTCTAATTAAAAACTCTATCTTTTTTCTTATATTACAAAAATATAATTTATTAGTCATATATCAAGTTAAAAATGGTTATAACAAATATTTAAAATTAATGTGATATAATTATATCATAGTTTGCCTGAATCACTTAATAATTTATTAATTAATGTTTTACTGATTGCATCATGGTTTACTGAATACTTCTTTATAATAGATTGATGAATTAATTAGATTAATATTTTACTCTTATGTTTCTCTCTTATTTTTTAATATATTTTTAATTTTATTTTTAATTTATTTTTTAATATATTAGATCTTTTTTTATATATTTGAATTTTATTAAAAACATAATGAACTTTTTTTTTGTAAAATATAACTATGAAAAATACAATTTACAAACTTACAAAACAAAGTAGAAATCAAAGTTTTGTAGTATTTACTCAGGAAAAGTTTAATGCAATATAGAAATTATTAAAGCGTTTATAAATAGAGATAGAAACAATTGTGCTAGTTTACAATTTAATCTAAAATAATCTGTGATCCAGGCAAACATATAAAGTTTAAATAAAGACAAATGACAAGTATTTCGTTTTTAGAAATAGTATTTAAAGATTACTCGTATATTTAGAGATGGACGTATGAAGAACATAATATATAGATTTTAAGCTTTTTGTTTTAATGCCTGCTCTGGCTGTCTCTGTCGCTGCATGAACATTCTATTCGCAAAAGAACACTTTTTGCTTATTTTACGTCATAGATCATTCGTATAAATTGCGCTTTTATGTGAATTTATGTACATACAATGTGTACTTATGTTAAAATGCCATATTGCGAGTTTCATATAATCTACAACGACCATCCTATATTTCAGTTTCAGTTCGTAAACTCCTTCCTATCGCTGTTTTACATCGCCTTCTATCTTCAAGATCAAGAGAGACTCAAGGAGGTGATAATTCACTTATTTCTTTCGCGAAACGTTATAATCACATTGAGAATATGAATATTCGTTTCAGCAATTGGCGGCTTTACTCATAGCTCGTCAGGTGATCGGTAATCTAAAGGAATCCGCGGTACCTTATGTGATCGAACAGCTGCGATTGGCGCGACTGAGTTTCGAACTGTTCGGAGCGTTGAGTCCCAGCGAAGCGAGACAACCCCCGAGTCAAGAAAACGAAGAGGTACAACAGGGTGGTAAGGACAACGAGGAGAAGGAAGATCGGTCCGACAGCAAGTCGAAGCAACCGCGAAACGTCAGCCAGGCAGAACTGGAGAGTTCCCTCTACAGAGTAGGGCATCCCACTAATTCTCTACTTAGTGACGTTACGTTCAAGGTTTGGTCTAGATTTAGCCAATTTAAGTTCTTTCTTTTTTCTCGGAGCACTCCGCCACACATGCATATCGATCTTGAAGCGCTCGCAAGCGAAATGGAAGGCCATCGATATACGCGTTTATTGAGCTATTATATTTAATGGGTGCTTCTCAGCCACCCCCGTCAAAGTTTTCGCTCCTTGAGCAGGTTTCCGTTCTCGACATTGCGAGTGACTCAAACACTTCACATCATATAGATCGAATTATCTCGTCCTTTAGATTTTTCCATTCGTTCTCTCCGTTCAGACTGCACTCTGCGCGCACTCACAAGTTGCATGACGACAGAGCTGAACTATTAATAGTGAAGTCAATGTCACGTTGCGTTTGTCGGTCGTTTCTTTTTTTTTGCAGAATTTTAATGATTTCTTTCCTGTTTTACACCCATTCCATCAACGACGCACAGGTATCTACTACAAAGGTAATATCACTCGTCCTATCATTAAATTTCAATCTTTTCCGTCACGAACAATCGCCAATTGTCTCATATGAATATTATACAATTTTAGCTACTTATTTTTGTACGCCAATAATTATAGCGTTATAATAAAATCAAAATATTTACTGAATAATTTTGAAGAAAATTAAACTTTATTAAATATATAAAATCTATTATTTTTTTGCTATATTAGAAGAAAAATTAATTCGGCTCCAAATATTTGTGTATTTTTTTTATAAATAACTTTGTAATAAAAATTTTGACAAACACGGCAAGTTACGTGACCAAAAGATATAAACAGAATTTTCATGGCTTATCATGCAAAGTCCGTGTTTACAATTTGTTTTGCTAGAGTTTGATATTCTTTAATGTATGCACGATTTTATGGCCAAGACACAATATATATAATCTTTAGTGTTTCAATTATCTAAAGACAAACACTGGATGTGTTTTTTATATTTTAGCAGGTATTTATAACAGACGATTTTTTGTTAGTATCGTGTTAACCAGATATTGTCAAATCGTCGAATTAGGGCCTATTTAGATGATCTATAATTTGTGACACACTTAAAATTCAAGACAGAAGTTTATTTATAATTCTATATATGTTTTATGTATATGTGTAGGTATTCTGAGATATTTCGATTTGTATATATTTTACGTGTTTAAATGTTTTCTGTAATACACGGTGCGTAAAATTTATAAATAGAATTCTGTTTTTAATTTTGTCGTAAATTGTATATATATATCATCTAAAAAGGCCTTTTGTCTAAATATTTTTTTATTAATTCTTAGTGTATGTGAACTAATCACAAACTTATTGTATGAATAAAAATTCTAATAAATATACTGATGTATAAAGAATTTATCTATATTTATTTATATACTTGTGTAAAGTCTAAAGATAAAATATTTAATTATCTTTTATATTTTTATCGAAATAATCGAATATATAATTCTAAGACAGGCAAGTTAAAAGAAACATTTATGATAATTATTAAGATTGTTTGTCTGTACAAGCTAATAAATAATTATTTTCAATTCACAGTATGACGGGGCGTTTTCGGAGCACTTGGAAATGCTATCGCAACTGGGATATGTCTGTCTCTTCTCTTCAGCCTTTCCATTAGCTGCGATGGCCGCTTTACTTGGAAATTTACTCGAATTACGCGGTGACGCATTTAAATTATGTTTCGTGCTTCAACGACCTTTCGGACGCAGAGTTTCGAATATTGGAACATGGCAAGTAAGTGAAGAGCAACAGCTTATGCACGTGGACTTACACATAAAGTCAATTCAACGCGCGCAAATAATAAAAAGATTTATATAATTATAATTATCCTGATCTTTTCCTCTCTCTTTTGTTCATAAATTATATATGTATATTAATTTTTTTATTGCGTAAGTTGCTCATTTGTCTTTACAAAAAATGCTTAAATAATTTTCTTATTCTTGATAAAATCTTAAATATAATATTCTTATCAATCTTTATTGAAAAATTATTATTGCGATTATCGAAACAAAAATCAAATATTGAATAACGAAAATAGCTTTAATTCAGAGACAAGATTAAAAAGAATAAACATCTCCGTAAATTTTTATTGTTATTTTTGTACGCGTTTCAAATTCATTGATAAAATTATGTCCGCATGTTAAATCTAAATTCTATATAAATTAGAAATAAAATTTAGCTCAAATGATACAAGTTTAATTTTACAACTTTAGAATGCCATGGAAGCGATGGGTCTGGTCGCTATTTTAGTGAATTGCGCCCTGATCGGATTAAGCGGGCAGGTACAACGAATGTTCCCAGAGATGTCGGCGACGCAAACAATCTTATTAATCGTAGCATTGGAACATATAATGTTCGCTATTAGATTTGTGATTATTTGCGCGATTCCCGACATACCTCACTGGGTTGCTACCGAGATGGCTAAAGTCGAATTTTTACGACGCGAGGCGGTCCGAAGATTATCCTCGACCCCGTCACCGGAACAACAACCAACAACAGTGATAGGTACATAACTCATTTCATATAATATTCATTCATATATGTGCACTGTCTAACACAACAAACATAATTATTATTTTTATGTGTTCTTCATGAAACTCATGTCTTCGTATCCTACTTTCGTGTCTCTCCCGATTCGACAACCGTCTCTAACTACCAGCCTATCCAGTGCCAGTTCATGAATGATCCGCTCTCTATCAGCAAGAAAGTGCTAATCGCTTTGCCTGTCGCGTTACATCCTCCCTCCTATCAGCTATTAATTTCGCTCGAACTCAGGGAGATTCGTGGTGAGTCCAGCAGACGGAGAAAGCGAAGAGCAGCATTTGCTCTCCGAACGCACCGGTTTCGCTACCACGTCCAGTCAAGCGGACACCCCAACCCTGGCTTCGACCGGTCATACACCTAGTGGACCGACAACACCTAGCGCCGCTTCAGTGCCGAGGATCTCGGAAACACCACCGATGGTCCACACACCCGGCAGCGGCGGAAGCAGCAGCGAGACCAGCCCGTTCCTACCCGAGAGCAATTCCAATGTCACCCGCGATATTCGTAACACGCCGAGATGTTCCATACCCGGAGGCGAACGAGGTTCGATTCGAGTGATTTTTTTCTTTTAAAAAAATTAATTCAATTCAATTCTAATTAAAATTGTTAATATGTCACACGCCGAAATTTTATCAATTAATTATTCTGTTATATTGACGAGAGATCTTTCAATAGGACGACGTTCGAGAGATTGGTTGACTAGCGAACCAGAAGCATCCGGTGGGACCGATCAGTACAGTCATCATTTAACGATTGGACCACACGGTGGTGTCGACTGGGTACGTCGATTAGGTCTAGAGCCCGGAGGACGAAAATCCAGCGATTCCGAAATTGCTGGTGCCGGTGCAGTGAGCGTACGGGAAGAGGAATTAACTTTGCACAGATCGACCGACTGCATCGTTTCCAAAGACCTCGCATCTTCCTCGGATAGCGATCTTCTCAGGTACGGAAGAAGAAATCTCGACATAATTATAACGCAATTTTTTTTCACTGAACTACACGAGACGTTTCTTTATCTTCGCAATCTTAATATATTTTTTTATTTCTCACGATATATATAGATAATATAATTTTAATAATATATTTTTTATTTAATATACAATATTTTTTTTATTTCTCATGATGTGTATATATAGAAATGTTTTAAGTCTTTCATGTTTTTCTTGCTTTTAAATTTCAATACTAAGGTCAATTTCATGCTTATTAAAGGTCGGCACCACCGTGGGCGGCGGCTCACAGAAGCCAGAAATTCCGCTTCTCGCCAGAAAAGGAGAAGGAACGTGAGAGGACGGAAAAACAGCAATACCAGCAACAACATCATCCGCGAGAGTCGACGCACGATCGCGAACGCGAACGCGACCGCGAACGTGAACGTGAACGCGAACGCGAGCGAGAACGCGAACGCGAGCGAGAACGTGAACGTGAACGTGAACGCGAACGCGAACGCGAGCGGCAATCCTACCTCGCCGAGAAGGAGAAGGACTCGAGCGGTCTGTCGGACTCCAGCAAGACGATCTCGAGTCAAGAAGAGGAAAAACCGCAGACGAAGGAGGAACGGGAGGCGAAGAAGACACGCGTCAAGCAGAGCCTAATGAAGCGGGCGCGCTCGGTGGCGATCTTCTCGTTGAAGCTGAAGGAACGTCGCGCACGGGAGGCCGAGCTCAAGGCCAAGGAAGCGGAAAGGGAGGCCAGGTGGCAGCAGCCCCAATCCTGCGTCGGTGGCGAGCTCTCATGCATCCCCATAGAAAAGCTTATCTCCGTGGACGATATTGCGGCCATGGAAATGCGTCGGATGAATCATTAGCCGCTTGACTTGTCTTTCTCACACATTTTCATTTTCTCGCTACGTAGAGAGCCGTTCGGGTACCGCGACGCGTGAATGCATCAATGTCATCTTGTCAACACGATGGCGCAATGTAAACGCGACAAAAATCGCGACGGAAAAAGAGAGAGAGAGAAAGGGAAGAGATACTTTGGTGATCGCGAAGAACCGCGCGATCGGAAGGAAGAAAAGGCGCACAATTTATGAAGCACACAAGATCTTAGATATTTCATTTAGGGAAACTTCCGATACACCGGTTCCTAGACTCAGGGCATCGAAATGAAGCAGACAGATACGGGATATTCCTAAAGGATCTATGATAATGTTTCACAAGTTACAAGTTCTCAAATATTATTTGTATTGTTTCAAACAATGTCATAAAAATGAAGAAAGGATAAGTAGAATAAAAATATGAATTTCTCTAATTTGATAGAATAATTTTATAAAATGAAAATTGCAGATTATATTGGCTTTTTAATGGAAAAATGATAAAGAGCTTTTATCGATTTAATAAAATTAATAAAATTATTTTATAGAACGCGAAAAGAGATTGTATGTATGTACCCTTTATTTTTTAATAAATATAAATAAAAATATGAATTTTGTTGATTTTAAAGACATTTTATCTGATTTATAGAAAGTTTTTAAATAATTAACTATAAATAAATTATCAGAATATTGAATTATTAAACAGCTTGGTTTGCATATTGTATAATATTTATATTATAAATTCTTTTCCCGCAGCTCTGAATATATCTATCGTAATCATTTTAATTTCGCATCGATTCGATGCCCTGTTAAATAACACATTTTCCTAATTTAAATCGCTCACAGATCGTAAAAAGAAAGAAAAAAAATATCTCATTTATGCTGTCAGCATTCTACGCCGAAATTGAATTATCATCAGCTACTCTATAATGGAATCCGGATGATGCAGTACACGATCTAATTATCGCGGAAAAAAAAGAAAACTAGGACGCTCTCAACAACCGCGACATTTTTTCAGAGAAAGATTGTAAGTCGAGAAGATTGCAAGCATCCGATTACTTGCTGAAGAGCGAGCATCGGTACAAAAAATTCAACGAAAACGGAGGAAGAAGAAACTTTGTTGTTGTTGCGGTATATATATATATATATATATATATATATATATATATATATATATATATATATATATATATATATATTATAAATATATAATAAGTTGTTAATTAATCTTAATAAAAATTCTAGGCATTAATGGGTAAAACAAACCTTTTTGCTGAATAGAGATCTCTACGAAGGCATATCACGTTGTCGAGACCATCCGCGTCACCACCGCCGCCTCTCACGTTTCGTATCCTCAGTAAGATCGTCCTTATTCAAGCTCGGTCACGTGGATGCACTGCAGATGCAGGACAAGTTCGCGATCGCGCGACACATTTGGCGATGAGATAGAGCGCACTGGCACACGCGAAGCTGTTCTTCGTCCTGTTTCAAAAAAATAAATAAAAATGAATGAAATGATCTAGAGACCGTTTTTTGTATATAGTAAAAAATGTTATGCAGATTGTAAAATCGGTTTTCATGGCCTAGCCACACGTCCCCGTCCGCGGCTGAACTTTAGCGCAGAATTGTTGAATATCACATGCACACACATACATATAAAAATAAACACACACAATACATACATACATATACACACACATACATATACACACATACATAATCACATTTTATTACATTTACGAATATATTGTTAGCGTTAGATTAACCATTAGATGCATCCACATTGAGCACTGTTGAGCAAACCGATGATAATCGCAGTTGTACTTAGCGTATCCTTCGGAAATTTGCAAAACGCACGAGTGCATTAGATGCAAAATCGATAGATTAGCCGCTTTCGTAAAGGCAGGTCGAAATAAATTCAGTCCGAAGCATCTGTGTTTGTTAGATGTTTTGTATAAAACAAAGAGAAATTGAGCCAATAAAAAAATATTCTACAAAACCGATGCGAAAATGCATATTTTCTTCCCCTTCCTTAAAAAAATAATACACGAAAAAAGAAGTCTAATTGTTTTTTTAGATATAAAAATAATAGAAATAAATTTTTGTTTAAATGCACGAAAATCTAAGAAAATTTCAAATATATATTTTCAATAAATTTTTTCAATTTTATTTAATTTTAATCTTTTTCATAGAAAGAGAACGCGGAAATGAACGATATATTTATTTGTTTCATACATATCAAATAATTAATATATATCACCTGTGCAAAAATTAACGTTACATATATATTATATCAGAGAGGTTATATTATATATAATTATTTAGATATAATGGAAGAATAAAAAAAATAGATCTTTATAGATTTTTAATAGAAGAAGAATCGATCTTTCAAAGAGATGCACAAAGAGATTCAAATATATTTTCAACAAATCTTTTAGTCTTAAATAAAGTAAAAATTTTGGAGAAAGAAAAAGCGGCAGTGAACGAATTATTTATATTTCATTCAGTATATATATTAAATATGACCTATGCAAAAATCAGTATATATGTTATATTATATCGCATGTAATATTGTTTGAATATGACAGAAACAGATTTTCCGATTGCGCGAAGATCTAAGATATTTTTAAATATATTTTCAATAAGTTTCTAATTTATTTAGACTCGAAGAATGGACTCGCGTCTTGCTCGTCCATTCCCGCGTTTTCTTCCTGCGAGAGAAATCGCGGCATGTTATTCCAAGATGTTGAATATCATTCATATCTATGCAAATTTTACATTATGTCATATGGTATGTGTTTATTATAATTCAATGTATCGGATTATACGTATTTTGTATTAAACATACCGTTAAATCGTATTATTTTCCGCAATTTTCGCCCCGCGTGCACGATGCGTCCAGGCACTTCGACTATTTCAGTAGTTCTGACGAGACTCGTCAAGAGGCCGCCAGCGCACGGCGAATTTCTGAAATATATTTTCAACCTCAATTTTATTTCGTCAACCTTTTTTGTAGAAAAAGAATGCGGAAATAGACGATATTTATGTTTCATGTATATCGATTAATATGCAAAAAATCAACATTATATATTGTTACATATTCTTGTTTAGACAGAGTAGAAACAGAGAGTACAAATAGATTTTTCAAATACGCAAAGAGATTCAAATAATTTCAATAATTTTAAAAAATTTCATTTATTCTTAAATTAAAGTAAAAATCTCGGGAAAAAAGTGGCAGTGGATGAGCCTATTATTTATACTTTGGTATATCGAATATATATTACTTGCAAAAATTAATATATATTGCATATACTATTATTATTGTTTAAATATGACGGAAACAATAGAAATAGATTTTTCGAATGCATCAAGATCCAAGAAACTTTCAAATATATTTTCAACAAAATTTCGAATTTATTTAGACTCGAAGAATGGACTCGTCGTGCTCGTCCATTCCCGCGTTTTCTTCTTGCGAGAGAGAAATACATATATCATTATGGATATATCAGTCATATGTATGCAAATTTTACATTATGTCATATGATATGCGTATATTACAGTTCGATGCATCATATTAGATGTATTTTATGTATCAAACATACCGAAAAATCATATTATTTTCCGCAATTTTCACCCCGTTTGCGCGATGCGTCCAGTCACTTCGACTTCTTCTCTCGTTCTGCCGAGACTCGTCGAGAGGGCAGTGGCGCACGACTCGATACGTCACTCTCGCATTGCGAGTTGAAGATCGATATATCGCATTGAGCTTGACCAATCCCGATTGGAGGGACGACGAATGCGATTAATCGCGATTGACGCATGCGTTATAGGTATGTTCGCGTTGCAGCGAACGTCTTCGTGACGTGAGGTCGAAAATGTTTCGTTCCGTCACACGTGAGTTTTTTTACTGTAAATTGTGGCAATACTTGTTAATTAAATATCTTTACATTTCTATTCTGGTGCACTATGAAGCATAATATGTGTATTTAATCTTATATATATGGAAATACTGCGTTGATCTAGATGATGAATGATTGATAATTTCGAAGTAAATTTCTCGATCTCGTCTTCACTTTTCGTTTTAATATTGTTATTGCATAAGATCTGATATATGTCATAATATCTAATGCGCATTTGTTTATTTGCGTAGTTAAAATTTATTTTGTCAAAATACTTTTTAAGCACCTATCAACGCAGCTGTTCATCTTTATTATGTAAACACAATAATACATTGATCTTTTTTTTACATTCTTTTGATTCTTTTTACAGATAACGTCCCACAGGGACTGGTGTCTCTAGTGCGCAACAATGTGGCAGTATCAGGATGTGGTGCCGCTACCACAAAGATTCAGACTAAAGATATGGCTACGGAATCATCTGTGCAGAAGGCAAAGACGCAGTTACCAGAGAAACCTAAAGTTGAGCCCTACAGTCCATTTCGACCCAATAATATGGCAGAGTATGCCTTAGCTAGAGTGGATGATCTATTAAATTGGGGACGCAAAGGCTCAATATGGCCAATGACTTTTGGTTTAGCTTGCTGTGCTGTAGAAATGATGCACATTGCGGCGCCTAGATATGACATGGACAGGTTTGGCGTTGTATTCCGTGCTTCGCCTCGACAGTCAGATGTTATTATAGTTGCTGGTACTTTGACGAATAAAATGGCACCTGCTTTGAGAAAGATCTATGATCAAATGCCTGAACCACGATGGGTTATTTCCATGGGAAGTTGTGCAAATGGAGGCGGATATTATCATTATAGTTATTCTGTGGTCAGAGGTTGCGATAGAATTATACCTGTGGACATTTACGTACCAGGTAAATCTATATTATATCTCTTTGCTTATATTATATTTGCTCTATATTATAACTATTTGCCTTTTAAATAGCTTAGTTGTATTGATTAACAACTATTTATTTTATTTATTTATTATTATTGTTTACTATAGTAAGACTTCAATATTGCAGGTTGTCCCCCAACAGCTGAAGCATTGTTATATGGTGTCTTACAATTACAAAAAAAGATAAAGCGTATGAAAACCACACAAATTTGGTACAGGAAATAATGTACAGTATCTTTGACATCTATAGTTGTGTGTAATAAGTCATTTAAAAATTGTATAAATCATTTAAAAATTGTAAGATATTGATATATATATATAAAATTAATAGGAAAATTATAGATTGTCTAAAAATGTGGTTGATGAAATAAATCACATTTTAGTAAAAATATTTCTTATTACACTCTTTTAATTCTACTTTGGGGGACATGTAAATAAAAAAGGGATATACCTAATATAATAAATCAAATATATCTCACACTTTACTAAATATAAGAGAAACTAAAATTTAAAAATATAATATTTTTAAGAGTTCTTTTCTGTGTTTTTATCCACGATTTGATACAAAATAAAATTTTATAGAATCAGTAAATTTTTTTAAATATAACTAATATTTTCTTGTAAATAATGAAATTAGTGTAAAACTAAATATATTTATTGCACATAATTGTGTAGCAAAATAATGAGCAATTCGAATAATTTTAATTTTTGAGTTTTTTCGATATTATACAAAAAAGGAGATAACTGTACATATATAATTAAATTTATATGCAATAACATGTAAAATTTTATTTCTTTATTTTGTCAAAAAAGATTTCTCTCTCTTTACTCTCAGTCTATATTCTTTATTTTTTTCAAAAGAAAACAATGTATAACATCAGGGACACTTTAATTATATAATGATCTGAATAATAGCACCTATACATTATTAATATAGTGCTTAACATTTAAAGAAACAAATTACAAAATGAGATTTATACCGTCTTTTTGCGATAACAATGAAATATTTAATAAACCTGTTTTATTACATTCTCTTATCCATTGTTTGCATATGTACCTTTTACTTTTAAAAATATATACAAAATATGTTCAGAGTAATTTAAACAAAGCAAAGAATTTCATAAAATTCTTTGTTATTTAAATTACTACAGTTCTTTCTAAGGCCCCTTTTTTATTTACTGTAACTAATACTAATAATAATTACATTTTTAATTATATATCCATATAATACATATACTGAAACATCTTAGGTATATAATAGGTAAAAAAATTGCTTTATCAATTTGCAAATTTTGTACCCATCATCCTCTATCATACCATTAATGAACGTGCTGTTATTCTGTTATGTCCACAGCCAAATTATTGTTTACTTTGGTCATTAAAAAAAGAAAATGTATGATAAGAATTAGTAAAATCATTTTAATAATTCATTTAGATAATTTATCAAATCTGAAAATTAATTCAGTTTTATCTTATTTATATATATCCCTATACATATAAATTATAATTCCATATATACAAAATTAATCTAAATTTTGATACTTGTTCCCCATCTCCTCTTTACTCACGACAATTTAAAAGTTGATTGCTTCTTCCACTAAAATTTTTACAATAATATAATTAAAAATTTAAAGAATAATACATCTAATACATATATATGTATATATTCCTTCGGGGAGGTTTGAAAACTTAATTAATTAATTTTTATTTGCTAACAGTTCTAACATACTAAACACAGTGGATTGACAACGTATAGAGAAAATTTTGCAAGATCATATTAGAATCTGAAATATGAAATTGATAAAACTTTTAAACAAAAATAAAATTTTTTATTCTATATTTTTTTGTGATCTATACTTTCTATATGTGCAGTACAAATCTTACTTAAACACATTGTGCGGTAGAACGTTATATAGATTTAAAAACGCATCTGTATGTTAAAAATCGACATTTGTATCCCTCTTACAAAGTATAATTCCATACAAAAAAATATAATGTAAAAATTAATTTAAATTATATAAACTTGAAGTAAACAAAACATATCAATCTACATATATTATCAGTCCCTCCCATGTAATTTTGATGACTCAAATACTAATGTGAACGTTATCACAAAAGCTCTGCAGCTGTACCTAGTTGCCACATGTTCTTGCAGAAATCATATTTTAAAAAATGGATATTATATCAAATATCCAGTAATTCTTTCATTTTTTCATCACACACATTAATCCAATTTTCTGAAACATTACCAATTATAATTATTCTCTTAATATTTAAATAATGCTGAAACAAATTTTACACTTTACAACCCAATAAATAAGTAATACAAATATATACCGCTTCAGCAAATAATCTGGAGTTTAAGTAAATAGACACACTTAAATATCTTTTTATGTTATTAGATAATTGCTTGCGATGTAGATGGTGGTGGATTGGTTGGTAACGCAGGCACTGGACCATCTGTCCAATGAATGAGTGAGTGCTCATTCATTTGAGTACTCTGAAAATGGTCCTTCAACAAAGTTTGGGAAAATGTACAGTGCATTTGATACGCTTCGCTCTCACGAGTAGGTTCACCGCAAATTCTATACAAATCTATAACATCAATTATGAATGTAAGCAACTAAGAAACATTGAATTATTTTATAATACACAATCGATAAAAATATATACCTTTAAGAATAGCAGTAGCCCACAATTGTACATGTACATCAGGTATTTTAGAAGCTAATTGCATCGCAGGTGTGACCATATTCATTGATTCTCTACTATTTCCCAATGAAAGAAATATATGTCCCAAAAGCACAAGACTGCACGAAGTAAGTCTATTCAAATCTTCTGAATTTGCCATTTTTAATGTTTCTCTAAGATATCGTCTAAAAATCGTAATTATATATTAATACAAGAATTATTTTATATATTGCTAAAAACCAGACTGTTTTATCTTAACTTCTCTACTTTTTCAGCAATTGAATTCATATACATATATATATATATACATACATACATACATATATATATATGTATGTATTTATGTAACTTATAAAAGACATAAGAACTTTTAGAAAAAAATCTTACTTTGCTTCATTATATCTAGCGCCAAAGAAGGCTTGGAGTCCTTGTACATAATATGCAGCTGCCCTCAAGGAATGAGAATGTGATGGTAGAGATTCTGGATTTATCCTTTCTAATAATGCTCCTAATTCGGCATCTCTTTTTGTTCTGAGATATACTATCGCTAAATTCAAATTTGCAAATGTCCAGAGTTCTCTCTCCTGTGATGTCTAAAATGATGATAAAACGATTTCTTTCACAATGCTATTAAGTAAAGATATAGATATTTTGTCAACCTAAAATTAAATTTCTATGTCAAATTTGTGACAACTAAAAGAAAATAAAAACCTACTAAAGTAAAAAACAAATATATAAAATGTTTAAATTTAAATAAAAACTTGATCTGTATAACATTAAAGATAGATAATAAGTATAACAACACATAGTTTTTCTTACTCTGAGTGCAGCAGTAAATTGAGCCTCTGCAGCTTCCATACAATTCATAGACATTGCATATAAACCTAGTAATGCATGTAATTGTGGTCTATGGCCTTGAAGTAATCTAGGCTGTCGCCTGCAAAGCTGACAAGCTTGAGAAATTTCCGCGAGAGCAACGCTTTTATTTCCCATTACAAGCCGACACATAACTATATGCTCCAAGAGCATTAATTGAAACACGGATAAAATAGGCTTATTATCGACAACTGTAAGATAATAAATATTTTTAATTTTTTGAAGACTGAGCATTAAATTGATACAAAGAAATAAAAAATATATATTGCATATTTACTTTTCAGTTTTTCAATTTGAGTAAGGGCTTTATCGGTATATTTCTGTGCTTTATCCATATATCCAGCTTGCATAGAATGCATGACAGTTACTAAATAGACCAAGACATATAGATGATCTTTTGGCATCCATATAAACATATCTCCATTATTGGAACCTGTGACTACGTCGTCAGTTGGCCAACTAGGAGACATTATAGTCTGTATACTCTGTTGTAATTGCTTCAAACAAGGTTTCACACTTTTCACCTAATTTAAAAAAATTAAATATATCAAATTGCATAGCACATTTACTATATAAATCATTAATGTTTATAAGCTTATTCTTACCTGGCCTGCCATGAGGTAGTGACATACTTGAAGAACTAAAAAGTACACCTTCAGATATTCCTTTTGATGTGGACTACCTTGCCAATTTTCTACATGATGTCCCGCCGAGTTTAAAAGAGGATGAACCTCTGTGAATTTCTTGTCTATTAAGAGAAGCATACACCGAGATAGAAGAAAGAGAACTCTAGTGTAACCGGCATTGCTTATGTGAGAATAATCCACACCCACTGCGAGCAGACTGCTCGCTGCCACAAAGTCCTTCTCTGAGGCATGAATTTGCTATAAAACATAAATTATCATTTTTGAGAAACATTCCCAGGTATTATATTCCCAGAAAAATAGAACAATCTTGATTGAATTTACCGCTAGTTGAAAAATAAGCCTGCAATGCCAGTAGACATTGTGCTGGGATAATTCTATCGCCTTCCTTAATATCGGCTTGCTCAGGTTTGGCTGTTGCTGCTGCTCGTACAATTCCGCAACCACACTAGCTGCTTCAAACTTCACATCGTCAAACGTATTTATGTTCTGACTCAGTCGCCACTAACGAGAATAAACGAAGAATCATTAGTTATTAGATGACAGCTGATTAATCATGATCAATCTTATGTTCCAAATCACATATACACACATATACATCACATGCTTGTTATGTTTTCAAAAATGGGGAGAGGTTAGAACGAAAGAGAGACAAATGTGCGAAGAAAAGCTCGAATTCGCGAGAGAGATTCGAAACGGGGGAGATACGGGGATCGAAAATCGATCTCGAGGTACGTGTAAATAAAGTAACGACTAACCGCTTGATCTAAGTGAGATCGCGCCAAATCGATGTTTTTTGTGTGCGTGAGCAGGATGTTGCCGAGCTGAAGGTGGGTTCGCGCCTCGACGCGAGGCGGTGGCTTGAAGTAGAAAACCGCCTGGAGACACTGGATGCACGATTTGACATTGGGCGGACTTGACGTGCGAAAATTCTCGGCCAGACCGAGCAACGAGAGATACCAAGCGTCCTGAGAAGACGCCATTTTGACATTTCACGCACGGTGGACGGACGGACCATTGAGCTCGACAACACGCACCGGAGAGAGGGAGACCTCGAGGGTGGGGAACGACCCAATTCGTAAAAAAGGTATGCGTGTACATTCGTAAATAAAGTCTCCAAACGTTTCCTGGAAGTTGCGCAGCGCTTTTACGGCTAAATCTCACGAGAAATATATTTTTTCTCAGCTCGATGATACAATTTTAAAGAGAGACGCAAGATCCGCTTGAGAATCCGCATCTCTAATTTTTTTTTTTTTTTTTTTTTTTTGTTAAGTAAATAATAAATCTTATCGTGAAATCTGATCATGCGCATATAATAATATTTTCGTTTCATATATCTATCTCGTTTCGTAAACACTCGATGTAAAAAAACAAATATTACGTAGAGTAGTGCGTTCGAAAATCGTACTCATTTTTGCTCCTTGAATTCTGATTGGTCAGCCGAAAGCTATTTTGTCCTGCGAGTAGGATTTTCGAGCGCACCTTTATTTGCACAGAATATGCGACGTGAACTTATCTGCGCGTCTCTCCTATCGATCGTCATAAACATCGATTGTTTAGCGATACTGAATAATATTCACGTCATTCACGAGGGTGTCAAATGTCAAAAAAAAAAAAAATAAATAAATAAAACATTGTTGATCTCGCCGAACGTACGTGTACTCTTTATCCAACAATTTACGTAAACACACGTATATATACATACACACATTTCCTTTGTTACAGCAGAGAGAGCAAAGTCGAATCGGTGGGGAGTGACATGCGCAGATCGATTTACCGATAGAAGGGGGAATCCTGGTCTTTCCGTTGCGAGTGAAAGATCTATAAAAAGTGGAGGCAGCAGAAGGCGAGAGGTAGTGTTAGAGGAGACGTGTCGTAGGAGGATGTAATTAATATATATATATATCTATCTACATCCTTGTATATTAGAAAGCACGAGAGTTTGGTTTTTCCTCAATTGCAGTGACTGTTATTTGTGTGTACGATTTTCGAGAGAAGCAGGTAACGAAGCGAGGAAGACGAAGGAAAAGCCAGGACGCGCACGAGTGAACATACGGAGAGTCCGAAGCGTCGTAGCCTCACACGTACACGCGTGTGCATGTCTGCGTGCGTTCAACTGTCAAAAGCAGGACGCTCCGCTTATACTATTACTCCGGGTGCTAGATCGACATATAGGTATATATTGCATTATTGGCTGGGGATCTGGCAGCGCCAGAGCGAAGCCAAACAACTCGTGTCCGCCATCTTGGGATAGAGGAGTCGTTGTTGTGTTTTTCGTGTCGCGTCAGCGAAAAGGAAGAGAAGCAGAGGAATTTTCTCTCCGCGAGGATAGGAGGAAGGAGGAGACAGGAGGAAGGAGACGCTAAGGTGGCGAACGGTCGCCGGATGTGGTCGAATCTGCGAGGAACGCGCACTGGGAGGACCGCGAGAGAAGAGGAACTCGAAGCGAGGTAGCATCGCGCGAACAGGTTTTTGGGATACCCCGCCGCACATTATTCCTACGCATCGTCATCATCGTCGTCGTCGTTGCCGTCGTCCTCGTCCCCACCATTGCTCTACCCTGGGTACTGTGATTATTGCGCAGTTGGAAATATTGTTGAGCACGGAGGACGCCGAGGAACGCGGGGGATCGTCTCCGAGAGGCAGACCCGCGTTAATTGCAAGTAAGAAACATTCATTGTTGTAGTTTCAATATATATATATATTCAGTATTTTAATAATATATATATTTTTTTACGGTTGATTGAAAATATTTTATTAATTTAATATGTGTTGAATTGTGAAGTAGTACAGCTTTAGGTTGAAGAATTATTCAGAACTCTTTGGCGAGCGTTCGAGATTATACGTTCTTTCGTTTCGTTGTGCGAAAATGTATGTCGGCAGGCATCCAGGAAACGGCTTCAGGAAGGGGAAAGAGGGGCCGGGTCACGATGAAGTAGAAATAAGATAAAGAGCGAGGAATGTGTGTGAGTGTGTGGGACTCGGCCTCAATAACGTAAACATTGTTTTATTAATGTGAATATCTGATCGTACTTGTGTTCATAAATCTCAATACGTCTCTAATCTCAATGAATGTAAAATTTCGACTTAACTTGTGGCTATGTATTATCTCTTGTAAATATCGTTTCATCATGCATTGATTATGCTTTATGGCATTCTCCTTAATTCTTAATGAGTGAATAAATTCAGAATAAAATTGGCTGAATTATTTTTTTTTATGTTAACTATGTACAAATTTCACACAATATTGAGATTTATGGAAAATAAAACACAAGTCCGAATAGATATTCATGTAAATGCAATTAAATAATGTTTATGCAAATCTTTCAGAAACAGCTTTGAATCATTGTAAAAATAAAATAGTAAAAGTAAAAATAGTACATAAAAATAAATAAAAGAGTAAACATAAAAAGCTTGTTTCTTGCTTTTTATTTTATTATTTCATTTTTACTATTTTATTTTTACTTTGATTCAAGATTGTTTCTTGGATGCTTGCCAATTTAATCTGTTTGCTGCAATTCTATTCCATAATAATACTTAATGATGAAATTCATGAATATGAAATTAATTTTGCTCTTATTAAATCTTTTTTATGTCCATTTACATACATATCGTTAAAATAAATATTTGTGTTAAGTGAGATTCTTTGAAAAAAATGTTTAATATTCTTTTTTAAAGACAAATATAAATATTTCGAGAAATACGAAATAATTAATTATTGCGCATATAGCAACTTCGTCTTATTATACGATATACATATAACACTAGAATAATAATATAAATTTTATATTTTACCTTCGCGTGTTAATTAAACATCGATAAGAGTGTTTATTTTTTGTCTCGATAAAGTGCGGCAAATAATGTTTATGTGGAGAAAAATACAAGATCCTATCGGTGAATCCCCCCCGCGTGTTGCACATTTCTCGCTTATCATTATTATGTAAACAGCAAATCGTCAGCATAAAAATATTTTTACGCTGCGAATATTCATAAATATCGGGATGAACAAAATTCACAACATGATGGATTATTATTTCATATCGCGTAAACAATTGGATTGTAGAAAATTGAATCAACATGACATTTACAAAATCTCATTTTTATAAAAAATAAATTTAATAAATTTTTAACTTTTTTAAAAAAGTTTTAATAAAAATTTAATAATAAATTTTAGTAAATGGATGTAACATCTGCTTTTTATATATAGTTTTAATATTGTTTTTTATTTTTGAATTAATTTTCAGTTTGCATTTACATAAATGAATGTAAATGAATGAGTATAATATTCGTTGAATGTTTTACTTTTTCACTGTAAAGTATGTCAAAGTTCGTAGCATTTTTCTTATAATTCACCATAGTATTCTTTAATAGTCTTTGTGCAATTATATATGCACTAGGAATATACACATATATTAATATAATATTTAATAACGTTCTCTTTTCAAATAAAGAAAGCAGCATTTCCTTTTTCCAAATAAGGAAGTAGCACTTTAGTATATATTATTATAAATATAGTGAAGATATAAAAATAAAAACGGGAGATTGAAAAAAAAGACTTTCGTGTATTTGTATGAACCGCTTTCTGTTGCAGGCCGACGGTTTTGTCGGTCTCGTGAGGAGGGTGAGTGACGAGGCTACGAAGACGAGGAGAGAAAAAGAAAAAACATCCGAGCCATGACGAATTCCGCGCCCAAGTTAGACAACGCCAAGGTGGACCGCCAGGCCTCGCCGAAGGTCGGGTTTCAATACCAGCACAATCATCATCAGCATCATCGTTCCAATAGTAAATCGTCGCCGTTCCTCTACAAGAACGGCCGCCACGTCGTCAGGAACACCAAAGACGGCCGGCAGAGCTGCAGCCCGTATAGCTCGTCGTCCAAAAGTCCGAGGAACTCGCCGCAACATCATCATCAACAACAACAACAACAACAGCAGCAGCAGCAGCAGCAGCAGCAACGCTGTGAGCAGCGCAGTCCAAGCAGCAGCCCGACTAACAACAGCTTCTACGCGGGTGCCAAGTTCTCGGAAACGCCATCGCCGGCAAGCGTGCCCAAACCGCCGAGCCGTTGGACGAGCACGGTGACTAGACTGATGGACGGCTGTCGCCGGGCCAATAGCGCGAGCGAATACGCGAGCCAGTTGCATATAGTGCTAAACGTCCAGGCCTGATACCCAAAGACTAACAACGGGTCCACCAGCGCCGTTCGAGAAGGGAGGAGGCGGCCGTCAGCAGCTCCTAGAGAATCAGGTACGATAGGGAATCATCGTCGATAAGGTCATCATCGGCCAAGAGGATAGAGAATAATAATTAATGATAATAACGATGATAACGATGGATGATGGTGACACCGTGTGCAGGCCGTACACACGGGTTTTCGATTTTATCGCGCGAGTGGATACCATAATCCGTTCTTTACGCTAAGCTACACATCCAGCATACAGACTTTAACCGTAGACTATGCACACGGCGGAATTACCACGCGGTGCATCGGTGCGTCCCGATGTCGCGATCGATGTGTGTGCGCGCGCGCGCGCAAAAGATACATACATTATATATGTATATGTATTGCGTTCTCTGGAACTCTCATCACGCGCCATCATACGCTGTGAAACAAAATGTAAGTAATACTGTATTTTAGATTATCGTATACCGCTAAACTTTCAAAAAAGGAACACAAGGAGAGCCCTATGTACGTACATACATATATTATCTATACAACATCCGAACACACAGAGAAAGAGAGAAAGTATAGCCTCAGTCTGACGATACGACTAGCGCGGACGAGCGAAGTTGCGTTTCGCGATTCTGTTATACGAGATGTGCTTCAGTATCGACGCGTTGAAAAAAAAAAGACGTGTCTGATAACTCTTTACGCAAACTCTTTTTCAAAGCTCGCGTTTCGCATCGCTCTCAAGACACCCGGTGTTTCCGCGCGCGTTTTTATCTTGTCAAATCTCCATCATCTTAAGCCAGCAACATCAAAGATGTCATACAATTTGCTGCTCCGTAGCGCGGAGATGCTGGACAAATAATTATTCGTTTAACAGCCGCCCGACTAATGATCGTTATCAGTATACTTCTTTATTAACAGTTTCTTTATCATTTTGGTATTACAAATGGTAGAAGATGTAGTTTCGTATGGGACATTAATTTCAAGTAATCCTTTTTAGTTTATTTTTCTTTTTTTTTGTTGGGGATATTTTTATTTTCTGCTACACATTGTTCTACACACGTGAAATAAGTATATAACTATGTAAGTTTTGAGTTTCATAGTGCAAGTTAGGAGAGGGGAGTTAGATGACTATAAATGACATAATAGAAAGGATCGGAATAATAGGGGAAACTGACTGATAGACGAAGATTATTCATACACAAATTATTACGAATGAATGCTTCGATATGATTGTATGAATGCTTCAGACATTAATCATTACGACATTGCATTAAATCCAAATTTTGATCACATTTTTCGTGTTCGATTCTCGGCATGTTTCGACAAAATTATTAAATTTAAGATTCATTTTTATGATGGCAAGAAAGAATATGAGAGCAAAAATGGACAGAGAAATCGAGATAAAGCAAATATTGTCAAATTTGATTATTACAAAAATGAAATATTTTTCTTATATTTACAAGTGATTTATAATAGATTTAATCTATGCTCTTAATATGTAAATTGTCGTGATGATCGTTCTACTATTGCTTTTGAAAAATTCAAATACTAACATATTTCGATGCTTTATTTAAATATGAAGGACGAGAGTTTTTTAAGGGAAAAGAGAACATTAGCGTCGTCATTATCTATAATAGCCTTGGTTAACGTCTGATTATCTTTTCTCAAGTTGTAATCAGCTGTAGAACAGGTCTTGATAACAATACGGTTAACTAAGGAATTAATACTTGTGTCCTTATCAGTGAGATGAAAATTCATAAGTAGTTAAAAAAGCAGGAAGAATGTTTAACGATAATCGACGTTGACTCAACCCGTCCTTAAAGACTCTTCTTTGTGCGAGTTTACGGAAAGTTCTATTATGCTAACAAGTGTAGGAAATAGGGCGATGCACTAAAGTTTTTCGTTGTTCATAATACATACTTTACGGGCGCAATTGTCATATCAAACTCGCATCACCTCTATCTATATTGGACAAGTAAATGGACTTACAATTAATCTATAATACACAGTAACGATAACAATAATATTTAAGGGTAAATAATAACAATGATAGTAGTAAGATAAGGCCTTAACGATACAAACAGCGTGGAGAATACGATCGATTTAAGTTTTTTAAAAAATTCTTTTTTTTCTTTATAGCAAAATTATTTCAAGCCACAGACTGAATACAGTTATTTGACGTAGTATTTTAACTAATGTTATTTTTTTTCTTTTTTTTTTTAAGTTTTCTGATAACTTGCAATAATTTTCTTGCAACAATACATAGTTTATTTTTCTCCTTACGTCAATTCTTTCTTCGATAAGCAATTATTAATTTTAAGTATGATGAATTTTGTGGAACACAGTTGTGAGATACAAAGAAATAGACTCATAAGCGAGAAGGATGCAAGATTGATAGAGAAATGATATCAAAATATTACAATTTCGATTTTTCGCTCCGTATTTATAGTTTTGTAAGACGTAATCTTCAGAATACGACGGTATTTGTAGCAGTTGATACAATCATACGTTGATCGATTTGATTTATGACGTCGGAGATTATTGAAAGGAAATATATATTGCTATATATATATGGATATATAGAGACAACGATTTGTCGAATGCAAACTCGAATGTGCGCGAGACTTTTTTTTCGGTGTTTAGCGTCGTGCACAACGATTTGAGAGAAAATCGATATCCCAGGATACGAGGAGAAAGTTCGAAACTTGTTTCCTTTTATCTATGTGAACGTCGATTTATGTGCGCGAAGAATTACGCGAAATTGCCAGTCCAGAGATTATTTTTATACGATTGATATGCACTTTCACATTCAGAATTTAATTTGTTTATTGTCAACGGCAATAATGAATTCAAATATATATCTCTATACGAGAATCATTAGAAAAAAAATGAAATCACGCCGAAAATTAATTACGTGATAAACTACGAGAAACTAAAAGAATAGCGTAATGAAAATGTTATTGTTTTGCATTGTTTTTTTTTCTTTTTTTCGTTTCTTATTCTGTCCGCGTTTTATGCAAAATAATGCTGATTAACATCTTCAATTTATTTTTTTTTTATATTTTTTTTCAACGAAATAAGTTGCATATTTTGTTAATATAAAAGTATATATATTAATATATAGCTCACATAGGTCACATTAAACGGCTAATATCGATAAATCGTTTTTTTTTTTTTTTTTTTTTTTTTTTATAAGACAAATATTTATTCTTTTTTTATGCTAATTCGCTTTTGGTGAATCTATACATTTCTCGCGAACGATAGTGATCAACAAAAGTCGTCGAATCGATTTAGCCCGGTCGTTTCTGTAAATGTCAAGAAACTACGTCTCTCGAAACACATTGCGCTATTCAGTGGCCATAAGAGCCTTGGAATCAGTATGCTTTATAGCCTGTGAATTGTCGAGGTCTCAGAAGTCGCAATAGATTTCTTGAGCAAGAGAAAGAGAGAGAGAAACGAATTAAACACTGCCGTCCGGTAAAAGAGAGAGAAAGAGGAAAAGAGGACAAATTAAAAGTGGAAACATATGTGTATTTATTATTATTATAAAGACGCGCATGCCAATCAGTCTCGTTACGATCTCGGAATAATAATTGTGTAAATATCAGCTGTCTAAGCAAAAATTGTAATTTCGATTGTATAAATTTTCCTCTGTAAAATTGATATGTACATATGCACACGTGCGAATCGTCCAAGTCGCGATTGATACAGATAATGGTTTTTCGTCTTATTTCTCTGTCAAGAACCGCGAAAAAAGTCACAAGTTGAGCATCCTGCGAGAAAGCACGCGCACATGTAATCGGGATTTCTAGAGGTCTGTGTGGTTTTTTGGCGTCAGGCTCGATTTTTTCCCTGTCGATTTTACTATGCAAACGTACAACCGGAAAAGAACAATACATACGATAAACGAATGAGGTAGATGGAGTTGATAAGAGAAAGGAGAAAGCCACCAGAATAGTAGAGAAATCAAGCGTTTAATCGAGAAGAGTCGATAAGAAATTAGCTGTGATGATGACTCAATAGATACTATTAACTTTTAATTAATAACACTAATTAATATAATACGTATGTGTGGAATGTATGTGTGCGTGATGAATGTGTGCGTGTATACATGTATATACACATGTACACCAATATAGAGCAAACATAAAATAACATTTAAGTACGATAAGATATATGAGAATAATGAAGTACGATAAGATATATGAGAATGATGTTAATAGTTGGATAAAAACATAATGATAAATAAGCGAGTGAGCAGGAGGAAGAGAAAGAGAGAGAAGGATAAGCACCTCCTCTCTTTGTCCCTTTCTCTCGCTCCCTCCCATAAGAGAGGGCATACAACATCTCCGTATTCTTCACGCTTTAATATTAATTAAACGTAAATTTTTGACAGTTCGATAGTAATATCAATATACGGACGCGCTCGAAAGCGGGCGCGATCGAGAGAAAAGAACAAAAAAAATAAAGAAAAAGGAGAGGCACAATGATCCGAGCGTTATCTATAGCTCGCGGCTTTAAAACGCGATTAAATTATCGTGACTATAAGACATACACACAAATATAGCTGATAATTGTAGTTTATATAATTGCAACGTGCCGACGTGCGGTTGGGTCGTCCCGAAAAACGTGGATCGACGAAGAAAGCGATTTTCAAATGAGCGATTTTACTAAAATCACCGCCGTGGCGATTCTTGATTTAAGAAAGCGTGTAAGAGCGCTCGAGTATAATCGATGTAAGATCTTTTTTCAAAGAGAGTTTGGGGGAAAAAATCCAAAAGTCCGAGCAAAATCCATGATTGTTTTTCGATTGAGAAAAAAAAAATTGTGTAGACGCGGGACGACCCATTTATCGGTCAACCATACAATTGTGATATTGTAATGTACAAAATCGCAATATATAGGCTTGAGCTTATAAGTGCGCGAGATTTTCGAGGGTCGAGAAAAGAGGATAAGGGAGGACCGTCTTCAAGACGATCGCGAATAAGTTTTACGAATAAGTTTTATGCTCGTCGAAACGCGGTAATCGAGTAAGGCTGATCGTACATCGGGATATTAATTTCTTATTGATGCTTTCGATAACTCTTCATCATTTCTCTAGATATCATAACTATACTTTCGCAAAACAGATTTTTGAGAGAAAGAGCTGTCGTGTCGCTGAAATGGTGTAAATTCCCCGATTTTGCAATTTTTTTCGTATCGATTCGTATCGATTTTACTATTACTGTAGTAATGTACAGTGATAAAATATATATAAGCATCGTTTTATTTACAAAGTCAGATCGAATTCCGTTGAAAATAATTTAGACTCGAGATGCATTTAAGCGTTTCACTTTCTAGATTCTCAGTAGCTATATATTTTTTGTTGAATATAAAATACGTAATTAATTTTCGTTAGTAACAGACATAAAACTTTCATTTTATAGGAATAGAAAGTTTCATTTACCTGTATATACGTGTATATCCGCCTTAGTCATTTTTGTATTTTCAAAATATCAATGTGCCTATTTTCGTTAGTTTAATTTTGTTTCACGCTCGTATTCAATATATAACAAAGATAGATAATATTTCCAAGAAACGTTTTGTTTGTTCTTTCTCGGTCGTAATATTAGTAATATTAGTAATTGTAGTAATAATAATAGTAACAAAAAGAGGAAGGAAGAAAAATACTATTAAAATTTCACGGTGCTTTTTACAGATTTTCCTAAACTTTCTTACAGATAACTTTTTAGAAAAGTACAGAATACAAAGATAAAGAAAATTGCTTTGGGACTTTCACAAGAATTTTGATTAATAATTTCTTTTCCTTTTTGTTTAGGTTGCTTCGTGAACTTTCTATAAGGGTCTTGGTTCTTTCTTGAACAAAATATGACATGAATGGACTAACTCTCGATGAACGTTCGTGAATGGATTTGTTAGGAGATTAAATGCGCAGTTTTTTTTTTTTTTTTTTTTTTTTTTTTTTTTTTTTTTTTAGTAAATAACGTTTTCGCTTAAGAAAGAGTATTAGTTTTTTTAAATGCATCTTTTATTTGTATTTAGTGGAGGATAGGATACACGCTTTTTAAGGAAAATATTGTAGATGCGAGGACGATTGATATAAGTTTTCATTTTTTCATAACGCAATAGTTAGGCGGTACATATTTTTTTTTATTTCGCACTCTTGACAGAAATCTAAGAATGTTTTTATGAAAGATGAAATGGACTTTTTGACCAATATCGAATCTTCTATTATTAAAAACTTGCAAAAATTAACGAAAAAATTTGCGAATCTCCGTCGTCGTAGAGAGCAGCAACGCGGACTACTTGAATACGTGAAAGCGAAGATATTGAAGCTCATCGAGGAAAAAAGCCAACGTGTTCGAACAGATTGCCGAGCTTTCTCACGATTGCGCCTCGAATTTTCCGCTTTTCGTCTGATCGATAGAGAGGAAAATTCCAGGGAAAGCGTGTTCTGCGAGGAAAAACAGAAATTTGAAACTTTAGTGTCCAAACTCGCATACGCTCTCGTCTTATCATACCGAGCACTGATCATAACAGGGACACAAAACACACAGCCACACGAAACACTATGTCGATTAATTACATAAGCCTTAAATTTAGGATTAAGTTTACAGAGAGCGAAACGAAGGAGAAAAAGGAGAGAGGAAAAGAAAGAGAGCGAGAGAGTATAATTGTTGTACCGAAGCACTTCATGATCCAATGTTACGATGTTATTATTCAGAATCAGTTTTTAGAATCGCGATATCATTTAATTATTAATTTACTCCTCGACGAGAGATACAATAATACATTCCTTCGATTATTTTCTTCTCTCCATGCGAATTTGCGTTTGACGTTAAATTTTGATTCGTGCCTCTTCATACCGTCTTATTTCATAAGATCAAATTCTCTTATATTTTTAATTAAATTTTAAGCTTCAATTATTCTAAAATTATCGGAGGCACGAATTTCGATCTCAATCGTTTCACGAGCTTTTCATCTCGTCAAAATGATTTATCGGGATCGCGTAAGCCCGCGTGACGTGACATATATTTACATATTTACACTCCGGAAGAGCATCGCATATATCATATGCAGAGGAAAGCGAATGAAACTCGATAATACGAATCATCGATTGTCGATCAACGTTTCTAATGTATTCGATTCTCTTTTTATTAATTCGTCGGGCAAGAAGAAAGCTCGGCTGGCTACGTCGAGAAGACGAGAACGAATCGTACATCAGAAATGTGTACCATCGTCGTCCTCTTGCATTTAATATTAAACACCTTTGTAAACGACGTGCGATGCGTTTCCGGTGCGAAGCACTCGCGCATTCGCGTGCTTACGCGCGCCCTAAAAAAATGTACGCGTACAATTCCCCGGTGAACGTTTGATTGAATTATAAAAGACACGACGAGGTAGTTCGTTTTACAAGTGTGTGGTCGGACGTGACGTTTGTCGACGACGACGGCGGGAGGGAGAAGTTTCTTCGCCGCTTTGCAAAGCGTTTTTTCGCGCGCATATATCCTTCTGGAGGAAGGATCGACCCGTCGACGACAATATTTTTTATCCTTCCTTCTGCCGCCGTTTTATGCGGCCGCGCGACGCGGCGATACGAGATACGTCCGGATAATTGAAACTTATATACGCGAGAGAAGAGAGGACGCGATACCCTCGCAAGCGTGTCTCGCATGAGACAAATGGGGATTCGCTAATTCTCGAAAACCGCGGAAAATGCACGAAAATGTCCTCGTCTCTCGTATCGTGGCGATCGTGTCGCCGACAACGAAGAAAAGATTGTTCGCCGGTTCACGGCGGGAAAATGCATTGACTGTTTGAGCGAATCGAGAGACCATGT